AACAGGTGCCATTAATACAGGACAGAGGAGCCTCTTAAAGAAGAAGTTACAGGTCTGTGAGAGCCAGAAATCTTGCTTGTTTGTAGGTGACCAAATACTTATTTTCCACCATAATTTGCAAATAAATTCATTAAAAATCCTACAATGTGATTTTCTGGGAAAAAAAATCCTCATTTTGTCTGTCATAGTTGATGTGTACCTATGATGAAAATTACAGGCCTCTCTCATCTTTTTAAGTGGGAGAACTTGCACAATTGGTGGCTGACTAAATACTTTTTTCCCCCACTGTATGTCTGTTTGAGGTGTATGCAAATAGATTATACAAGTGGTTAGGCATTTTCAACACAGACAAAGACTAGAAGAGAAGTAGGACATTTCTCCTCAACCATGAAAGACTATCATGCATGTTGTTGACGTTAGTTCTTTGTGTGCAGTTAAGGGCGAGGTTGATCTTTGTGTCAAAAACGCAGATCATCTTTTTATAACAGACATACCTCTCCTCATCTTCACAACAACTTTGTCAATATGACTTGACCATGATAACTGACCATCCAATATTACTCCAAGGAATTCAGCTTCTTCATCTTGTTCTTCTTCATCTTGTTCAATGGTCTCAGCCTTTACGGACAGCTCCAGTTGAGGTTTAGGTCAAATATTATTTTTTTTACCAAATACAATGCCTTTGGTTTTAGATGTATTTAAGACCAGCTTATTGTTAATTACCCATTCTATAATAACGAGATGCTCATGTCTCCGCCCTGACAATGGGAGTCGTCCCAAAGGTGGGACGGCAGGCTACAAGCTTAGATCCATTGCAAGCTTAGATCCATTGCATTGGGCTTATTCTGGACATATTTTGGCAAGAGTGAAACCTCTCGATTCACCTCTTCCTCTCTGCTGTGTTTCCCTGTCATTGCTCGCTTTGTGACTACCAGGCGCCTAGCCTGTCAATAGATCTCTAGAAGATGCATATCGGTCATTCTAGCGGGAGAGGGCTCGACGGACTAGCAAATTGAAACTTTAAAATGAAAAGTAGCCTAGTTAATGTGAAGTAGAAAAGTGGTGCTAATCGGAAAACACTTGTGATGGCTGTTCAACAGTGATGGCCTGGTAAAATAAGCAGTTTTTTGTCTCTCTGTCTTAGCTCTGATGCACCTGTACTGTCTCCGTCTGTCGGACGGTATCTGAGTGAACAGTCTGTGGCTCGGGTGGCTGAGGTCCTTTAATGATCTTCATCTTGGCCTTCCTTTGACACCGGGTGCTGTAGATGTCCTGGAGGGCAGGCAGCGTGCCCCCGGTGATGCGTTGGGCTGCCCACACCATTCTCTGGAGAGCCATGCGGTTGAGGGCGGAACAGTTGCCGTATCAGGCATCAGATGCAGCCCGACAGAATGCTCTCAATGGTGCATCTATAGAAGTTTGTGAAGTTGGGTTAAATACGGGAGACACATTTCGATTGAATGCATTCAGTTGTGCAACTGACTAGGTGTCCCACTTTCCTTTCCATGTTGAATTTCTTTAGCGGCCTGAGGTTGTAGATGCGCTGTTGCACCTTCTTCACCACAATGATGGTGTGGCGAGACCATTTGTGACCGACCGCCTTGATTCGGACTTATTTAGCAACATTAAGAAATTATGTTTTTTTTACATTGGATGAAAGCAGAGACACAGAGCTACAAAATGGTGTATCGTACACTGCATTTGAGGAACAATGGGAAAGTAATTCTGCTTTGAAAGTTGAATAACTTGTAATCTCACTTTTGAGAAAATGGCCTTTGAATGTTTTGGTACCTACTGAAGAGCTCTTCTTTGTCTACACCCATTCAGCATCGTTTACACCCTCTTAAGCTTTAGCCCCACCCATCTTGTTTCACTCTCTTAGTGTTCGGAGCGCACACTGGACGCTCTGGCTGATGAGTAGGGTTGATCCGAGCGTTCTGACCTCACTACAGCAGTCACGCACCCAAGCTAACATTGGCTAGATTGCTAGCTACTGCCAGACACAAAATTGGGATTATGGTTCATTGTTTACCTCTGGATAACATGAAAACAGCATAACCAGCTCTGCTAAGGCAAGTAAAATGGTCAGTGAGGTGTTCTCAAAGCTCTGGATAACATGAAATCAGCCTAACCAGCTCTGCTAGGGCGAGTAAAATGGTCAGTGGGGTGTTCTCTCATTGGGGTGTTCTCTAACCAGCTCTACTAGAGAACACCCCACTGACCATTTTACTCGCCCTAGCAGAGCTGGTTAGGCTGTTTTCATGTTATCCAGAGCATTGGTGACTGTAATTACACTTTTTTTGCTGACGTTTACTGATGTTGGCCATATTCAACTGGTGTTGAGCGTTCGTAAATTCATCAGTTATTCTGCACTCTGGCATACTCAGACTGAATTTACGAACGCACCCGAAATGGTTACTTGCATAGTGGAGTCTTTTGTTAAGACATGTAGCTAGCTAGCTAGTTAGGTAAATAATGAACCAAAATCCCAACTCATGATGTTACTACCCTGCATGAATCTGCAGGTAGCTAACCAACCAGGTTCAATGTAAGCTAGCTAACATTAGGCTATAACTAGCCAAGCAAATGGCTCTGAGATACGAATAATAAGATCATACATGTAAAGTTAGCTAGCGAGCCAGCCAGCTAATGTTAGCTAGCTAGCTAAACAATGAACAATCCCAACTCATGACGTTACTACCCTACATGAATCTGCAGGTGGTTCAATGTTAGCTAGCTAACATTAAGCTATAACTAGCCAAGCAAATGGCTCTGAGATACGAATAATAAGATCATACACGTAACTTTAGCTTGCGAGCCAGCCAGCTAACGTTAGCTAGATAACTAACAGTACACTTAAACTTGAAATGAAACCACTTTCTGTCAAAATTAGAAACTTGTAATATCTGAAAATGTAACTAGCTAGACTATCTTACCCGTATACATCATGCATGGATGGACGCGTGTCCCTGTCATGGATGCCATGGTTGCCCTTAGTTTGAAGATGTAATCCGGAGACAGGTGTTTTCTCCATCTCTTTAGCTATTATACTCTTTCCACTGATTTCAAATCTCGATCCTCCAGAAAGTGGAGAGCAACACTTATGCAGCTCCACTACACACATTTTTTTTTTTTTTTAAGCTGCGTTAGACAGGATTACCTGCAAATGCTGACCAGCTCAAATAGACAGAAGCGTGCTATTGGGCAGATCAATCCGAACTCCTCTCTCGGCATGTCCAGCCCACTCATTATCTCAGCCAATCATGGCTAGTGGGAAGGTTGCTGTGTTTTTCTGTGGCTTAACTAACTATGCTCGTAATTTAACAATTTTGTCCGTATTTACAGATGGCATAAAAGTTTGTTATTAAGGCACATGAAAGTTCACATGTTCCAGAAGACATTTCTGCCAAAAAACGCGTTTAGATTTTTAAAAAAAGTTTACGTTCAAATGGCTCTCGTGAAGTAGTGACCCGCGACATATGCCTAGTTTCCTGAAACAAGTCACATTTTAGGTCCTCAGTGATGTGCACGCAGAGGAACTTGAAGCTTTTGACCCTTTCCACTGCGGCCCCGTCGATGAGGAAGAGGGCTTGCTCTCTCTTCTGTCTCCTGTAGTCTACGATAAGCTCCTTGTTGATGTGAGGGAGAGGTTATTTTCCTGGCACAACTCTGCCAGGGCTCTAACCTCCTCCCTGTAGGCTGTCTCGTCATTGTTAATAATCAGGCCTACCACTGTCGTATCGTCAGCAAACTTGATAATTGAGTTGGAGCCGTGTTTGGCCACGCAGTCATGGGTAAAGAGGGAGTACAGGAGGGGGCTGAGCACACACCCCTGGGGTCCCCCATCTTGAGGATCAGTGTGGCGGAGGTGTTGTTGGCTACTCTCACCACCTGGGGTCGGCTTGTCAGGAAATCTAGGATCGAGTTGCACAGGGAGGAGTTCAGACCCAAGGCCCCGAGCTTAGTGACAAGCTTGGAGGGCACTGTGGTGTTAAAAGCTGAGCGTTAGTTGTTTAACAGCATTCACACATACAGTGCCATCAGAAAGTATTTACACCAATTGACTTTTTCCGAATGTTGTTGTGTTAGCCTGAATTTAAAATGGGTTACATTTAAGAGTCTGTGTCACTGGCCTACACACAATATCCCATAATGTCAAAGGGGAATAATGTTTTTAGAAATGTTTATAATTTATAAAAAAATGAAAAGCTTAAATGTCTTATGGCAAGCATAAATAAGTTATTGAGTAAAAACTTGCTTAACAAGTCACGTAATGAGTTGCATGGACTCTGTGTGCAATAATGATGTTTAACATGATTTTTGAATGACAATGGGGTCGGCATTTGATCGTGAGGTATTCCAGGTCAGGGGAACAGAAACTCTTAAGTGTTTGTACATTCCTATAATCACACCAGGAGTTGTTGATCACCGCCTTTGTTTTTCCCGCAAAGCGCTTTTACCATGTCTGTGCGATGTACGGAGAACCCTGTAGGCTGTATAGCCTGATCAAGCACTTCTCGCGTCAACCAACTCTCTAAGGCAGATTACGTTAGTCTCTCGTATCTCTCTGGTAGGAAATCTGAGCTCACAAAGTTTATTGTCCAGAGACTGTACATTAGCAAGTAATTAATCTGACTAAAACTCCAGCTCACCTTCCCCTCCTCCAGCGGCCGTCTTGTCTTTTTGATGATGATTGAACATTCAAGTTTTCAAATTCACCTTGACCAATGATTATGGCTCTTAAAAGGACATGAGAGCATTATACACAAACTGTAACAAGAGATTCTAATTTTACTCATTGCCTTAAGTGTCCAGTCCACACAGCAGCCAACAGTACAGTTCAGTACAAAACAAAATGCTAAGCATCCCATACATTGTTTGTTGACCACACAGCTAGTTAGTGTGTAAACTGTTAAGCTGTGGTGACTTAGTTTGCCCTGCAGTTTGTTTGTTGGTTTGGCGCGGGGCACGCAGTGTTTTTCCTGACTTCAGCCTCAGCCATGTCAACTGCCATTATGTAAAGTCAACATCCCGCGGCGCCCACGCCAGGGTCCCAGGTGGCAACAAGATGTTATCCACCCTCCCTGCACTCCTGTTCCCGTTCATGTCCCTGTCCTTATCCTCAAATAAACTCCATCACATTACAGGAGTTGTGTGTGTGTGTGTGCTGTCTCGGTTAACCCAGAACTAAAATCTTGTGTAATTTGGTCATTTGCTGTCTCTCGATGAGAGATTAGTGTGTGCGTCTATTTTCTGTTCAGTCCCCACCAACACTTTGATAACAAGCTCATTTGATAATAGCTTTGTAAGAAAAGCATCTGTTGGTAAGTATTGTTGGTAAGAGTATATATGGCCACTGTATCCTGCTGTCCGTCGTAGTGCTGAGAAGATGATGGTGTGATATTGATCGGGATAAGAGAAAGAGACTTCACCGGGGTGGGAGCTCTAGATAGATTTACAGTGCATTCGGAAAGCATTCAGACCCCTTGACTTTTTCCACATTTTGTTACGTTACAGCCTTATTCTAAAATGGATTAAATTGTTTTTTCCCCTCAATCTGCACACAATAACCCATAATGACAAAGCAAAATCAGGTTTTTAGAAATGTTTGCAGATTTATAAAAAAATGTAACTGAAATATAACATTTACATACGTTTTCAGACCCTCTACTCAGTACATTGTTGAAGCACCTTTGGCAGCGATTACAGCCTCAAGTCTTTTTGGGTATGACGCTACAAGCTTGGCACACCTGTATTTGGAGAGTTTCTCCCATTCTTCTCTGCAGATCCTCAAGCTCTGTCAGGTTGGATGGGGAGCATCGCTGCACAGCTATTTTCAGGTCTCGAGATGTTCGATCGGGTTCTCATCCGGGCTCTGGCTGGGCCACTCAAGGACATTCAGAGACTTGTCCCAATGCCACTACTGTGTTGTCTTGGCTGTGTGCTTAGGGTCCTTGTCCTGTTGGAAGGTGAACCTTCGCCCCAGTCTGAGGTGCTGAGCGCTCCGGAGCAGGTTTTCATCAAGGATCTCTCTGTACTTTGCTCCGTTCATCTTTCCTTTGATCTTGACTAGTCTCCGAGTCCCTGCCGCTGAAAAACAACCCACAGCATGATGCTGCCCCCACTATGCTTCACCGTAGGGATGGTGACAGGTTTCTTCCAGACGTGACGCTTGGCGTGCAGGCCAAAGACTTCAGTCTTGATTTCATCAGACCAGAGAATCTTGTTTCTCATGGTCTGTGTCTTTAGGTGCCTTTTGGCAAACTCCAAGCGGGCTGTCATGTGCCTTTTACTTTTACTGAGGAGCGGCTTCCACCTGGCTACTCTACCCAAAAGGCCTGATTGGTGGAGTGCTGCAGAGACGGTTGTCCTTCTGGAAGGTTCTCCGATCTCCGATCTCCACAGAGGAACTCTAGAGCTCTGTCAGAGTGACCATGGGGTTATTGGTCACCTCCCTGACCAAGGCCCTTCTCCCCCGATTGCTCAGTTTGGCGGGGATGCCAGCTCAGGGAAGAGTCTTGGTGGTTCCAAATTTCTTCCATTGAATAATGGAGGCCGCTGTGTTCTTGGGGACCTTCAATGCTGCAGACATTTTTTGTTACCCTTCCCCAGATCTGTGCCTCGACACAATCCTGCCTCTGAGCTCTACGGACAATTCCTTTGACGTCATGGCTTGGTTTTTGCTCTGACATGCACTGTAAACTGTGGGACCTTATATAGACAGGTGTGTGCCTTTCCAAATAATGTCCAATCAGTTGAATTTACCACAGGTGCTCCAATCAAGTAGTAGAAACATCTCAAGGATGATGAATGGAAACAGGATGCACCTGAGCTTAATGTCGTGTCTCATTGCAAAGGGTCTGAATAATTATGTAAATAAGATATTAATTTTTTCTATTTTTAATAAATTAGCAAAAAAATCTAAACCTGTTTTCGCTTCGCCGTTATGGGGTATTGTGTGTAGATAGATGAGAAGAAAAAAAAATGTTGAATCAATTTTAGTATTAGGCTGTAACGTAACAAAATGTGGAATACTTTCCGAATGCACTGTATGTTCTGTCAGACAGTGGAGGTTTGTGGAGCACGCCACACACACACTTACACACTCTCTTTTTCTCACACACACACAAGAGAGTGAGATGGACCGCTGAGACAATTTATGCTTTATTTAGCCTCTTAAGTAGGACTGCTTGTGCCTGATGACTCCAAACATGAGACATTAGGTGTTCTCTCGCAGATTCAACCAGGACATTACACTACTCACTGAGGAGAGGAATCACGTTGGAATCATAAACATAACCTATTTTCTTTGTTTCTTTCTTTTTTTATATAAACAAAACTTTATTTATACTCCTAAATGTGTGGTGGTAACATATCAAGGACACTACTTTATTTTAGAATAAACTATTCTTAGCAAAGAGATACATAGAGATACTACTAGTAATTTGAATCCACATGTACAATTTGTTTGAATTTAGTTAATGCATAAGGAATTTTATTTTGGGTGGTATTAGTCTAGTGGCTACTGAGTGATTGTTAACCAAAACCATGCTGTACTGTAGCTAAATGAGAACCCTTATTGTTTTGTTGCTTTTCTTTGCACTGATTGTTAGTCTTTGTACTGTCTGGAAGTGGCACATTACATCCATCTGTGTCCCTGTGTGTACAGCCTGTCCTCTCCTCTCTCTTTGTTTACTTGTCCTTGTATTCACCCATAGCTCTGGACAGGAGGTCCTGACCTGTGCTGTCATTGTACTTCTGCCTGGCCTGCCCCTTTCAAATCCTTTGTCTTTGTCCCCTCCTTGTGCATCGAAACCCATACATTGCCCCAATTGATAAAGCCTACCCTGTTGTACGTCTGTAGCTAAGTATGGACTAATCATGTCATAAGTGACCGGCATCGGCGGCATTACCCACATACTTTCCTGTTCCCCACTCTCTCACGCTCTCGCTCTCTCACACTCTCCCTCTCTCTCACACACTCTGTCCTCACCCCTTCTCTCTCTCCTCACCCTCTCTCTCTCTCCACCCCCCCCCCTCTCTCCTCTCTCTCCTCCTCCCCCTCTCTCGTCTCACCCCCTCTCTCTTTCTCTCTCTCTCTCTCCAATTTGTCTCTCCTCTCTCCTCCCCCCTCTCTCTTTCCCCCCCCCCTTCTCTCTGTCTCTCTCTATCCTCTCTCTCTATCTCTCATAAAAGAGTGAAGGCATAGCACCAGGCAGTCACATAGGAGAGGCGCGACGGACAGTGTTAGTTTGCGGTAGAACACAGAAAATGAAGCCTTAGTGTCACTGATGAAGGCACTTCCATATGCTAAATGTTGTAACTGTCAGATGTTGGATGAACTGTGAACTGGTCACTCACATGATGTCAACTGTCCACTGGTCATCTGAGATCCTAATATGGAGGCCATGCCAGGTCACAACTATGAATTGATCCCTTTATAAGGTTTTTCATTTCTTTCTTGAAGGGGGATTGGTAAACAACACCTGGCCTGCAACGCCTGTTGGCCACCTTATTCCATAGATCAACTCAGAGATGTTTGAACTGGTCACTCATGTGACCAAAAGGTCAACTGTTCAATAGTATAAGCTATTCAATGATCGACGCTATGCCAGGATTTTTTGTTGGCAATATTATTTGGCCCCCCAAATTAATTATGAATATTTTTTTTATAGTAATACAAAAATCTTGGACCCGCAATGCAAAAAGTCCCAAATGCAATGTCCCAAGAAGGCAGTTACCCCACCTAAATAATAAAAAGGTTACATTTTAACTTCATTCATGAGGAGAGAGAATGCAGGAGACAGTCAAATAATAAAGCAGATAGCGGACCATTTTATGGTGCCGAAACGTAAAGCTGCAACCGCAGCACAATCAATAGGAGGTGGTGAATTGCGCCTGGTGCTGAAAATATAGCTAACTTGTTATGCAAGTGGCACATAGCAACAGATGTACATACAGTGGGGGAGAACAAGTATTTGATACACTGCAGATTTTGCAGGTTTTCCTACTTACAAAGCATGTAGAGGTCTGTATTACTATTATTATTATGATCATCATTATAATAAGTCATGTTATTATCATTAGTAGGCTTAGTATAGCAGCCTTGTATAACCACCATCTAGCCGTAGGCCTAAGAGCGCATCCTGTTTAATCAATACCGTAACTTACTTAGGCCTATATTTCAATACTTATATAGGCTACTGTATCAATCAATCATTCATTCGTTCATGTCATCACAGCATACGAGTCATTCATGATTTGAAATGCAATCAAGCATTTTAGTTTTAAAATAAAAGAATGCGAGCCTTGAATAATTAGCTTATACCATAAATAAACCGTTCCATTTTGGAAATTGCATTCACGAATTGCATGCGACTGTTTTTAGTCTTTGCTGAAATAAAGGCTTTACAAGAAAAAACGTTATATACAGTATATACAGTGGGGAGAACAAGTATTTGATACACTGCCGATTTTGCAGGTTTTCCTACTTACAAAGCATGTAGAGGTCTGTAATTTTTATCATAGGTACACTTCAACTGTGAGAGACGGAATCTAAAACAAAAATCCAGAAAATCACATTGTATGATTTTTAAGTAATGAATTTGCATTTTATTGGATGACATAAGTATTTGATCACCTACCAACCAGTAAGAATTCCGGCTCTCACAGACCTGTTAGGTTTTCTTTAAGAAGCCCTCCTGTACTCCACTCATTACCTGTATTAACTGCACCTGTTTGAACTCGTTACCTGTATAAAAGACACCTGTCCACACACTCAATCAAACAGACTCCAACCTCTCCACAATGTCCAAGACCAGAGAGCTGTGTAAGGACATCAGGGATAAAATTGTAGACCTGCACAAGGCTGGGATGGGCTACAGGACAATAGGCAAGCAGCTTGGTGAGAAGGCAACAACTGTTAGCGCAATTATTAGAAAATGGAAGAAGTTCAAGATGACGGTCAATCACCCTCGGTCTGGGGCTCCATGCAAGATCTCACCTCGTGGGGCATCAATGATCATGAGGATGGTGAGGGATCAGCCCAGAACTACACGGCAGGACCTGGTCAATGACCTGAAGAGAGCTGGGACCACAGTCTCAAAGAAAACCATTAGTAACACACTACCCCATCATGGATTAAAATCCTGCAGCGCACGCAAGGTCCCCCTGCTCAAGCCAGCGCATGTCCAGGCCCGTCTGAAGTTTACCAATGACCATCTGGATGATCCAGAGGAGGAATGGGAGAAGGGCATGTGGTCTGATGAGACAAAAATTGAGCTTTTTGGTCTAAACTCCACTCGCCGTGTTTGGAGGAAGAAGGATGAGTACAACCCCAAGAACACCATCCCAACCGTGAAGCATGTAGGTGGAAACATCATTCTTTGGGGATGCTTTTTTGCAAAGGGGACAGGACGACTGCACCGTATTGAGGGGAGGATGGATGGGGCCATGTATCGCGAGATCTTGGCCAACAACCTCCTTCCCTCAGTAAGAGCATTGAAGATGGGTCGTGGCTAGGTCTTCCAGCATGACAACGACCCGAAACACACAGCCAGGGCAACTAAGGAGTGGCTCCGTAAGAAGCATCTCAAGGTCCTGGAGTGGCCTAGCCAGTCTCCAGACCTGAACCCAATAGAAAATCTTTGGAGGGAGCTGAAAGTCCGTATTGCCCAGCGACAGCCCCGAAACCTGAAGGATCTGGAGAAGGTCTGTATGGAGGAGTGGGCCAAAATCCCTGCTGCAGTGTGTGCAAACCTGGTCAAGACCTACAGGAAACGTATGATCTCTGTAATTGCAAACAAAGGTTTCTGTACCAAATATTTAGTTCTGCTTCTCTGATGTATCAAATACTTATGTCATGCAATAAAATGCAAATTCATTATTTAAAAATCATACAATGTGATTTTCTGGATTTCTTTTACACCTCTACATATATATATATATATATATACACATACACACACATACATATACAGTGAGGGAAAAAATATTTGATTCCCTGCTGATTTTGTACGTTTGCCCACTGACAAGGAAATGATTAGTCAATAATTTTAATGGTAGGTTTATTTGAACAGTGAGAGACAGAATAACAACCAAAAAATCCAGAAAAACGCATGTTAAAAAATTTATAAATTGATTTGCATTGTAATGAGGGAAATAAGTATTTGACCCCCTTTCAATCAGAAAGATTTCTGGCTCCCAGGTGTCTTTTATACAGGAAACGAGCTGAGATTAGGAGCACACCCTTAAAGGGAGTGCTCCTAACCTCCGCTTGTTACCTGTATAAAAGACACCTGTCCACAGAAGCAATCAATCAGATTCCAAACTCTCCACCATGGCCAAGACCAAAGAGCTCTCCAAGGATGTCAGGGACAAGATTGTAGACCTACACAAGGCTGGAATGGGCTACAAGACCATTGCCAAGCAGCTTGGTGAGAAGGTGACAACAGTTGGTGCGATTATTTGCAAATGGAAGAAACACAAAAGAACTATCAATCTCCCTCGGCCTGGGGCTCCATGCAAGATCTCACCTCGTGGAGTTGTAATGATCATGAGAAGGGTGAGTAATCAGCCCAGAACTACACGGGAGGATCTTGTCAATGATCTCAAGGCAGCTGGGACCATAGTCACCAAGAAAACAATTGGTAACACACTACGCCGTGAAGGACTGAAATCCTGCAGCGCCCGCAAGGTCCCCCTGCTCAAGAAAGCACATATACAGGCCCGTCTGAAGTTTGCCAATGAACATCTGAATGATTCAGAGGAGAACTGGGTGAAAGTGTTGTGGTCAGATGAGACCAAAATTGAGCTCTTTGGCATCAACTCAACTCGCCGTGTTTGGAGGAGGAGGAATGCTGCCTATGACCCCAAGAACACCATCCCCACCGTCAAACATGGAGGTGGAAACATTATGTTTTGGGGGTGTTTTTCTGCTAAGGGGACAGGACAACTTCACCGCATCAAAGGGACGATGGACGGGGCCATGTACCGTCAAATCTTGGATGCGAACCTCCTTCCCTCAGCCAGGGCATTGAAGATGGGTCGTGGATGGGTATTCCAGCATGACAATGACCCAAAACACACGGCCAAGGCAACAAAGGAGTGGCTAAAGAAGAAGCACATTAAGGTCCTGGAGTGGCCTAGCCAGTCTCCGGACCTTAATCCCATAGAAAATCTGTGGAGGGAGCTGAAGGTTCGAGTTGCCAAACGTCAGCCTCGAAACCTTAATGACTTGGAGAAGATCTTCAAAGAGGAGTGGGACAAAATCCCTCCTGAGATGTGTGCAAACCTGGTGGCCAACTACAAGAAACGTCTGACCTCTGATTGCCAACAAGGGTTTTGCCACCAAGTACTAAGTCATGTTTTGCAGAGGGGTCAAATACATATACATACATACATACATACATACATACATACATACATACATACATACATACATACATACATACATACATACATACATACATACACATATACATACATACACATATACATACATACACATATACACACATACACATATACACACATACACACACACATACATACACAAATACATACATATCCTATAAAAAAAATATATATTCCCCTTTATTACTTTCCAACCCCGCCACCCTTTCCCTACTTGGAGTAAACTAGTGAACAACAACGCTTAGGCCTCTACCTCCAGCTTATACTTGCTACCTACATTTTATGGACACAGTTAATTTTACAACAATTATATTTTGTTAGTTTTTTCTCCTGAACTTCTTCTACTCTCAACCTCTCTGATCATTTTCATGATGTCCATCCGGTTTGCTTCTATATGCCATATCTTTCTAACTGTGCTCTTTCACAAAAGCTCCCAACCTACAACCTACATACTTATTATGGACACAGTATGCTTACATTATTAGTTATCTTGTTATTATTTGTTGTTAGTTGTTATTAGTCCCATCCTTCAATTCCATTCAACACCTCCCATCTATCTCTTAACACCATCCATATAGGATTTATATTTGCCATATATATATTTCAACTGTACTGTGATGTCTTACAAAAGTTCTGAACCTTTCTATTCTCTCTACAGATTGCGAATTGAAAATAAACATTTTTGCTGAAAGTATTATTATGTTATTGATCAATTGACTATGACTTTTCAGATCACCCACTAATGCTATCTGCAAGGTTAGCTCTAGGTAAATATTGCAATCCTTTAGCCATTCCTGGACCTGTGTCCAAAAACAAGCTACAAATGGACAGTACCAAAACAAATGATCTAATGATTCTGTCTCTTCGCAGCAAAATCTGCAGAGCTGGGAAGATTGTATCCCCCATATAAATAACATTCTATTGGTAGCAAGAATTTTATATAATAATTTAAATTGAATTGAAGTTTTGAATCCGGTGTCGTTTTGCGTATCAGTTCATAAACACTATGCCATGGAATCGGTACGTCAAAAATCTCTTCCCAACTACTTTTGTTTTTTTAGATTCTTTGCAAATGTAAATATATATATATATAAAAGATACCTTATTTATATAAATATTCAGACCCTTTGCTATGAGACTCAAAATTGAGCTCAGGTGCATCCTGTTTCCATTGATCATACTTGAGATTTTTCTACAACTTGATTGGAGTTCAGCTATGGTAAATGAAATGTATTGGACATTATTTGGAAAGGCACACACCTGTCTATATAAGGTCCCACAGTTTACAGTGCATGTCAGAGCAAAAACCAAGCCATGAGGTCGAAGGAATTGTCCGTAGAGCTCCGAGACAGGATTGTGTCGAGGCACAGATCTGGGGAAGGGTACCAAAACATGTCTGCAGCATTAAAGGTCCCCAAGAACACAGTGGCCTCCATCATTCTTAAATGGAAGAAGTTTGGATCCACCAAGACTCTTCCTAGAGCTGGCCGCCCGGCCAAACTGAGCAATCGGGGGAGAAGGGCCTTGGTCAGGAACCCGATGGTCACTCTGACAGAGCTCCAGAGTTCCTCTGTGTAGATGGGAGAACCTTCCAGAAGGACAACCATCTCTGCAGCACTCCACCAATCAGGCCTTTATGGTAGAGTAGCCAGATGGAAGCCACTCCTCAGTAAAAGTCCCCTGACAGCCCGCTTGGAGTTTGCCAAAAAGAACCTAAAGAACTCTCAGACCATGAGAAACAAGATTCTCTGGTCTGATGAAACCAAGATTGAATTCTTTGGCCTGATTGCCAATCGTCATGTCTGGAGGAAACCTGGCACCATCCCTATGGTGAATTATGGTGGTGACAGCATCATGCTGTGGGGATGTTTTTCAGCGGCAGGGACTCTGAGACTAGTCAAGATCGAGGGAAAGATGAACGGAGCAAAGTACAGAGAGATCCTTGATGAAAACCTGCTCCAGAGCGCTCAGGACCTCAGACTGGGGCGATGGTTCATCTTCCAACAGGACAACGACCTTAAGCACACAGCCAAGACAACGCCGGAGTGGCTTCGGGACTCTGAATGTGGTCCAGCCAGAGCCGGACTTGAACCCGATTGAACATCTCTGGAGAGACCTGAAAATAGCTGTGCAGCGACACTCCCCATCCAACCTGACAGAGCTTGAGAGGATCTGCAGAGAGAACTCGTCATACCCAAGAAGACTCGAGGCTGTAATCGCTGCCAAAGGTGCTTCAACAAAGTACTTATGTAAATGTAAGTCTATCCAAACATTGTTAGCACATAAAATGCAAGTTTCTTTATTGTGCTGTATTCCTCTTGCATGCCACCCAAAACGCACATAGTGCCTCGGCACACCTGAGCGCATTGCTGATTTGGCTCAGTGTTTGGAATTCTATCAGCTCAGTTTGAATTGCGGCCTCATCCAGCGAGGGTATTGTTTTCTTAGCAAGGGAGGAGAATTCTCCACCTAGGCGGACTGTAAGAGGATCACGTACAAACACAATGATATCCTTGGGCATGCTGTAGTCTTCAAATCTGGTGGAGAAATTGTCCCTCAGCTGCTTGATGAAATCTTCCATCACCTCTGTGACAATGCTGCGGCCTGGTCCCTCTGCCTGTCGTTTCTTCAGTGTGCTGAAGTGCAGTAGCCTTCCAGATGACAAGTCCAAATCGAACAACTCAAGCTTCCTAGTAAAGGCCTCAAGTTTTTCCACCATGTCCACAACTGTTTTCCCTCTTCCTTGTAACTGCAGATTTAACCCATTTAAGTGACAGAATATGTCAGCCAAAAAAGCAATATTGGAGAGGAATTCCTCAATTTCCAGAATACGACGGTGGTCAGCTGCTGCCGTCATTTAGCTTTTTCGGAGAAAATCCACAACCTGGTCATGCAGCTCACAGAACCGCTCCAGCGCTTTTCCTTTATTCATCCAGCGCACGTCGTTGTGAAGCAGGAGATCATCATGGGTGGCCTCTGATTCTGTCACAAGCTTGCAAAAACGACGGCTTGATGTCCTCCTGACAAAGTTGATTATGCGCATTAGTTTATCCAGCACATCTTTTAGCTCACCATTTAGTCTGGCACACAGCACACTCTGATGGATGAGACAATACAAGCCATTCATTTGGGGGGCGAATTCCTTCGACCTGCTGACCAGGCTCCTGTGTCTGCCCACCATAGCAGGAGCGCTGTCGGTAACCACAACGTTTACTTTTTCGATTTGACAGGCCATGCTACATAAACAGTTCTTCCAGCTTTGTGAATATGATGTCCCCGGTGGTGTGTCCTTCGAGGGGAATCAGTGCCAGCAGCTCTTCTTTAAATTAATGTCCTTTCAAAATAATGGACATATCCACACAACTGTGCTACATCGGTGCTCAGCCTGATTGAGCCCCTCCAGAACAATCCTATGCACATCATCTGCCAGTGCATGGACGTGGCAGCCGGCTGTTGACGCTGAAAGGGGCACCTGTTTGACAGACTCAATTATGCTATCCATAGACTTGTCGGTAGCCAATTCCTCAAACTGTCACCATGCACTTTTTAAATACCCCCGTGTCTGTGAACGGCATGTTGTGTTTGGTTAGAACCCAAGACGCTTTTAGGGAGGCACTTGTGACCTTCTGTTGTTGGGTCAGGCCACGAAGGAGGATTCTGCTGCCGTGTGTGTAGCTAGTAGTTAACGCTTCAATTTTTCTGCGTCGGGCCTATGTCTGTCTGGGGTGGGAAGGCCATTTTGAATGTACCATGCTTAGATTCATTTTATTCATTTATTTTGTTTATATAACCTTTATTTAACTAGGCAAGTCAGTTAAGAACAAATTCTTATTTATAATGACTGCCTACCCCAGCCAAACCCGGACGACGCTGGGCCAATTGTGCGCCGCCCTATGGGACTCCCAATCACGGCCGGATTGTGATACAGCCTGGAATCGAACCAGGGTCTGTAGTGACACCTCTAGCACTGAGATCCAGTGCCTTAGACCGCTGCGCCACTTGGGAGCCCCTTTCATAATGACGTCTGAGTTTGAATTCTTTGCAAACAGTAAAATTTTTGTTGCAAATAATACACAATGGCTTGGTATTGGATAAAGATGGTAAGATGAACGCATATCTCTGTCCATCCCTGAAACTTAGATTTTCTATATCCACCTTTCTTTTGATACTTTTTGAGAGCGATTTCCTCTCGGCCCCATCAGATTGAAAACAACCTACTTGTGGAGAGTAATTTGTTTTGCACATTGCTGTTGACAAAATGACCTTGAATACACAATGCTCTACATTGGGTTTATAGTAGCCTCTGTCGACAGTCGCTATATGACTGCCAAAGTGAATCTACGTACACTACCAGTCAAAAGTTTTAGAACACCTACTCAGTTCAAGGGTTTTTCTTTATTTTTACTATTTTCTATATTGTAGAATAATAGTGAAGACATCAAAACTATGAAATAACACATATGGAATCATGTAGTAACCAAAAAAGTGTTAAACAAATCAAAATATATTTTATATTTGAGATTCTTCAAAAAGCCACCCTTTGCCTTGCTGCAAAGAAACCACTACTAAAGGACACCAATAATAAGAAGAGACTTGCTTGGGCCAAGAAACACGAGCAATGTACATTAGACCGGTGGAAATGTATCCTTTGGTCTGGAGAACAAATTGGAGATTTTTGGTTCAAACCGCCGTGTCTTTGTGAGACGCGGTGTGGGTGAACGGATGATCTCCGCATGTGTATTTCCCAAGGTAAAGCATGGAGGAGGTGTTATGGTGTGGGGGTGCTTTGCTGGTGACACTGTCTGTGATTTATTTAGAATTCAAGTTCAAAGTTTTAGAACACCTACTCATTCAAGAATTTCATAGTTTTGATGTCTTCACTATTATTCTACAATGTAGAAAATAGTAAAAATAAAGAAACCCTTGAATGAGTAGGTGTTCTAAAACTTTTGACCTGTAGTGTAGGTCTATAGTGTAAACTAATGTGAACTTTTGTGTGGGTTATGTATGTCTTTAGTCTAAATATCACGGGTCAAAAAACATTGTCTGTCTCTCTGCACTCCACCATTGTACTGAATTCAATGGCATTGGCAACAGGAAATACCACAGTATCTGACCCACATTCTATTTAAGGTTTCAGCCTCATTACCAGGTGGTACTAAGCTAAAGTTTTTCATTTTGGGTACAAAAGAGATATTTCCAGACAATCCTAAAGTAATACCTCGACAGAACATATAAAATAATACAAATAGTCTATTCCTGTCTTTAAGTTATTATACATTTTGGGTATTATCGAGCCTTTTCAGCTAATCCTGAGTACTATCCACAGAGGTTTGGGTATAAATATCTTCCTAGGTTTAAGTTATAATTAAATTTAACCCTTTACACTCGTACCCATATACAGGTTCAAAATGGCAGATTTGGGCACTGATAAGCGCCTAAATTGGAACGCCATGGCTGTACAGTAACATGCTTATAAATGACGTCAGAGCTCAGGCTTTGGGCTTCACAGCGTTCTATGGGTTTTGACTGACCGCCATTCTGAACTTGAGCACCGCTCACGACAGGAAGTTGCCCCCATCCCTCCTGCAACTTTAGCAATTTTTGTGAGTGAAATGCTGTAAATTAATTTGAACCTGTCAGAAATGTCCAGATTATCAACTACTAGCCCATGTTAGCTAGATAGGTAAGTTAGGCTAATATAAGACATGTCAAAATGTGTAGAATTGCAGGAAATTGGCTTTAAAAACGGCAATACTTTTTCTCCGCCCCATGACAAAAATTTGTAGAATTCCAGTAAATGATCTTTAAAACAGCAACAAACAAAAAAACTGCCAACAAGAGGGGTGTGAACAGTTTGATCAGTTTGGGGTTGCGATTTAAATGACAATATCCAACTGGACCTTTGCCACCTAGGACATTTGAGTGACCAGACCTTCTCAAATAGTAGTTGAGTACCCCTGGTATACACTGTGAATGATGCCAGTCTCAACTGCAACCCTCCCTCCATGCAGACTGGTTGTCATAGCAACACATACCAAGCCAGGCAGGTACAGTACAGGGGTTATATATCGGGGATGAGAAATACCTAATGATGTATACAAACGTGAAATATCTGTGGAAATACCCATGCCATGAAGAATGGTAGTTCTGTATATGTCTGTTGCTGAGGAGACTATGCTGGTTGGTGATGGTGAAACACTACCTGACTAATGACTATTCTCTATCCTCTACATCAGCTTTATCCCCCATCCCCCCCTCCTCCTCCCCCTCCTCCTGAGGTCCTCATGACAGAAACAGGATGTTCTCTCCTCAGTGTCTCAAATGAATCGCTTCATCTCATAGTGGCGCTGTAGTACAGCATGGATGAACCTGTCCTGAACCAGAGGATATTTCCACAGCGATCCTATAAATTATGTGTTCTATATGTAATTCTATGGTAGTCTGGGTACCAGCTGTCATTCCACTCCTTGCCACTCATGTCACGCTAAACATCTTTGGCCAATGACATGGAGTGGAATGTTAGCTTAACAGACTTAGGCTAATTCTATGGTACTATAAAAAAAAAAAAATCAGCCCAAATGTCTTGCTCATGTCTTAACTTGTTACTGGCACCTCCTCTCAGCCTCTTCTTCCTCCTTCTCCTCCTCCTAATGTCTGGTGCTGTCCATATGCTTGTGTGTTGAAGTAATTTATTAGGGTCTCCGTGATTACAGTGGGCTGAGAGGGATTCTACTAGCAGCGTTCTCCGTCTTTACATGTTCTGTGGCCGGCTGCCGGTTGGCTGGTGACTGAACACACACACAAGCCCTCCCCTCCTACCCCACACCCACCCCACCCATCCCATATATCCATACTGCCTCCAGATGTGCCCCAGTCCTTCTGTCCATAAACAGAAACCATAGAGTTCAGACACGGGGCTGCTGCTGGTCTACTGATGCCCAGGCCCCACGCGCGCTGTACCTTGCCCCATGCTGAGACGGAAAACAAACGCTCCCACAATGACCTGCCTGTTCTCTTGGTCTCTCTAGTCTGTCTGTGTGTTTGCCACAGGCCCACCACACCACAGAACACTAAGACCAGGGCTAAACCCGTCACTATCCTGAAGCATCATTATACGCAAAACAACACTATATGGGAGTACCTGAAGCATAATTCTGACACAGCTAATGATCAAAGTCTTGTCTTGAAGAATTCAGGAGGCTTGTTGCCCGTAGGGTTGTGTATGTTGTTGTTGTTGTTGTTGTATGTTACATTTATTATCATACAAAGACAGTTCATCATATCAAAGTTGGCTGTGTCACTGTTGATATTGCATTGGTTTGATTTGTTTTCAACATGCTCAGGATGATCCTAGCTGGGCAGGTTGCTCTTTAGCTGCTGAAATTAGTGGCACGTTTATGTGTGTGAGTTAATTCGGACTAATGATTTATTATTGTGGATTGTTAAATGGATTAGGTCTATGTACAGGCATTAGGCAACACGTTCTGAGTGAGGGTCATTGACTGGATCAGTAGACTACACTAGCCAGGTGTGCCACAGTGCCTGTGTCGCCTTTTGGCTGTTGTGCTTTGACAAGCTAATTGGATAGAGCCCTGAACTAAACCTGTGCAGCTGTGGCATCGTCCTTCCCTCTTTTCCTCTCTTCCTTCATCCCTCCTTTCCCTGCTCCCATCACCAGCCAGAGGAGGGAAGTAGGAGCAGTTCAATGGCACTCTCCTCCTCTCCCTCTTTGTCTTCCTCTCTCTTTCAGTCTTTCTCTCCTTACCCCCTCCATCTCCCTCTCTCATAATGGATGAGCCCAGCGTTGTCTTGTCGACTCCCCACCTTTCAGATGCCTCTATTTATAGCCCCTGGTGTGGCAGGCTGAGCAGGTAAGCTGAGGGACAAAGCACAGGGGGGAAGTGCGTGTCCGACTCTGAAGGTGCAGCAGGGTGGTGTGAGTGTGATGGAGAGAGTGTGTTTGTGTGTCTTCGGGCTCCATCACGCTACATCCATCTCTCTGCCACAAGGCCTGAAACTGCAGAATTAACAGAGACATCCGGACCATGACAGACAGACAGACACTGCAGTAGAGACACACACACACACACACACACACAAACAGACGGGCACTGCGGTAGAGACAGACTGATGGACGGGCAGACAGACAGCCAGCCAGAAAGATAGGCACACATCCAGACAGGCAAACCGATATCCAGGCAGACAGACAGACAGACAAACAGACTGCAGGGATTTACATACTGTTTTACCCACCTCCATTATATATATATATATATATATATATATATATATATATATACAAAAAAATAAAGGGAACACTAAAATAACACATCCTAGATCTGAATGAATGAAATAATCTTATTAAATACTTTTTTCTTTACATAGTTGAATGTGCTGACAACAAAATCACACAAAGATTATCAATGGAAATCAAATTTATCAACCCATGGAGGTCTGGATTTGGAGTCACCCTCAAAATTAAAGTGGAAAACCACACTACAGGCTGATCCAACTTTGATGTAATGTCCTTAAAACAAGTCAAAATGAGGCTCAGTAGTGTGTGTGGCCTCCACGTGCCTGTATGACCTCCCTACAACGCCTGGGCATGCTCCTGATGAGGTGGCGGATGGTCTCCTGAGGGATCTCCTCCCAGACCTGGACTAAAGCATCCGCCAACTCCTGGACAGTCTGTGGTGCAACGTGGCGTTGGTGGATGGAGCGAGACATGATGTCCCAGATGTGCTCAATTGGATTCAGTTCTGGGGAACGGGCGGGCCAGTCCATAGCATCAATGCCTTCCTCTTGTAGGAACTGCTGACACTCCAGCCACATGAGGTCTAGCATTGTCTTGCATTAGGAGGAACCCAGGGCCAACCGCACCAGCATATGGTCTCACAAGGGGTCTGAGGATCTCATCTCGGTACCTAATGGCAGTCAGGCTACCTCTGGCGAGCACATGGAGGGCTGTGCGGCCCCCCAAAGAAATGCCACCCCACACCATGACTGACCCACCGCCAAACCGGTCATGCTGGAGGATGTTGCAGGCAGCAGAACGTTCTCCACGGCGTCTCCAGACTCTGTCACGTCTGTCACGTGCTCAGTGTGAACCTGCTTTCATCTGTGAAGAGCACAGGGCGCCAGTGGCGAATTTGCCAATCTTGGTGTTCTCTGGCAAATGCCAAACGTTCTGCACGGTGTTGGGCTGTAAGCACAACCCCCACCTGTGGACGTCGGGCCCTCATACCACCCTCATGGAGTCTGTTTCTGACCGTTTGAGCAGACACATGCACATTTGTGGCCTGCTGGAGGTCATTTTGCAGGGCTCTGGCAGTGCTCCTCCTGCTCCTCCTTGCACAAAGGCGGAAGTAGCAGTCCTGCTGCTGGGTTGTTGCCCTCCTACGGCCTCCTCCACGTCTCCTGATGTATTGGCCTGTCTCCTGGTAGTGCCTCCATGCTCTGGACACTACGCTGACAGACACAGCAAACCTTCTTGCCACAGCTCGCATTGATGTGCCATCCTGGATGAGCTGCACTACCTGAGCCACTTGTGTTGGTTGTAGACTCCGTCTCATGCTACCACTAGAGTGAAAGCACCGCCAGCATTAAAAAGTGACCAAAACATCAGCCAGGAAGCATAGGAACTGAGAAGTGGTCTGTGGTCACCACCTGCAAAACCAGTCCTTTATTGGGGGTGTCTTGCTAATTGCCTATAATTTCCACCTGTTGTCTATTCCATTTGCACAACAGCATGTGAAATGTATTGTCAATCAGTGTTGCTTCCTAAGTGGACAGTTTGATTTCACAGAAGTGTGATTGACTTGGAGTTACATTGTGTTGTTTAAGTGTTCCCTTTGTTTTTTTGAGCAGTGTATATAACACACAGTACCAGTCAAAAGTTTGGACACACCTATTAATTCAAGGGTTTTTCTACTATTTTCTACTCTGAAGGAGCAGCAGGGTGGTGTGAGTGTGATGGAGAGAGTGCGTTTGTGTGTCTTCGGGCTCCATCACGCCACATCCATCTCTCTGCCACAAGGCCTGAGACTGCAGAATTTACAGAGACATCCGGACCATGACAGACAGACACTGCAGTAGAGACACACACACACAGACAAACAAAGACAGACGGGCATAAAAGCCTAATCTTTGGTCATACTAAAGGTGCATGACTGAAACGTTGCCTGGTAGGGGAGAAAATGTAACTCTAAAGACAATGCAGTCAGTCATTGTGGGACAGAGCAGAATAGGCAACGTTTCAGTCATGCTCCTTCAGTATGACCAAAGATGAGGCTTTTATCCTTATTCATAGATTTCACGTGAGGGTTGAAGTCTTTGGCCAGACAGTGGAAGCAGGGAGCATAACAGAGTGTGCTGAGCGTCTTCAGTTCAGACACACTGTGGTCCTCAGAGAAGAAGCTAAATGAAGGAACAGCATCTGGTGATCTGGCAGCCTAATGAGGAGCAGGTGCATAAGAGACGACACGCACGCAAGCTGCACAGACACACACATACACACACTACAATGAAGGGCCTTGAGGAGGAGCGAGAAAATGTAAACACACTCATCTTGCACAGTGAGTCCCCTGAGGGACATTTAGCTGTATTTTATACAAATTACATAAGCCATTCTTAATCATGTAACTGTGGAAGTATGGTCTTAACTGTCAATGTGGTATTGTTTTATTCACATTCATGCTGCATGTTAGAGGGAGGTACTAATTCAGGCTGACCCCCTGCTAGCGTTGGCTAGCTCCCATAGCCTCTCAGGATTTTACCGGGAAGACATTCAATGACTGCAAAAATGTGTTGTTTGAGTGTTTCTGGGGTTTAAGTTTAGAGAAGAAGACACATTTCCTTTACAAGATGGACAAAAATACAACGTCCTCCCAATACCCTGTTCTTGTCTTGGCTCGTTATGGTCTCTAATCAGAAGTCAGAATCTCCCACAGTTTATGTGATGGGAATGCCCTGTCCTGGCTGCTGAGACGGGAATTAATAGAACAATACATATGGCCAGGCTCCAAAAACCACATGAGTATTTATTTGATACAGCAACAACTCAGTGGGACCAAAGGACGCAAGGCACAGATAACATCCACTGATGTCAGTTCAACTCTGTGCTAATGTGTGAATATGTGAATCTAAGAATTAGGCTAGTGCTAATGAGGAACAATTGGAATCAGAATTTCCGTTAACTTAATTTATTGAATAAAAATGGAACTGAAACTCTTAACATGGTATTTAAGAGAGGAAGATTGAGGGCATTGTATGTATATGCGGTGGTAAGAATGTTTTTTGTTTACACTACTAGCATTATAGGAGTGCACAAATGACCCAATATTAACACCTCTAGGGCTAAAGACAGGAACATATCTTATCAAAACCATTAGAAGTCAAATTTGGGTATATACACTATATATGCAAAAGTATGTGGACACCCCTTCAAATTAGTGGATTTGGCTATTTCAGCCACACCCGTTGCTGACAGGTGTATAAAATCGAGCACACAGCCATGTGACAAACATTGGCAGTAGAATGGCCTTACTGAAGAGCTCAGTGACTTTCAACGTGGCACCGTCATAGGATGCCACCTTTCCAACAAGTCAGTTCAGCAAATTTCAGCCCTGCTAGTGCTGCCCCGGTCAACTGTAAGTGCTGTTATTGTGAAGTGGAAAAGTCTAGGAGCAACAACGGCTCAGCCGCGAAGTGGTAGGCCACAAAAGCTCACATAATGGGACCGCTGAAGCGCGTAGCGTGTGTCACTACCGAGTTCCAAACTGCCTCTGGAAGCAACGTCAGCACAATAACTGTTTGTCCGGAGCTTCATGAAATGGGTTTCCATGGCCGAGAAGCCGCACTCAAGCCTAGTGGTGTAAAGCTCGCCGCCATTGGACTCTGGAGCAGTGGAAACGCGTTCTCTGGAGTGATGAATCACGCTTCACCATCTGGCAGTCCGAAGGACAAATCTGGGTTTGCGGATGCTTTAAGAATGCTACCTGGCCCAATGTATAGTGCCAACTGTAAAGTTTGGTGTAGGAGGAATAATGGTCTGGGGCTGTTTTTCATGGTTCAGGCTAGGCCCCTTAGTTCCTGTGAAGGGAAATCTTAACGCTACAGCATACAATGTCATTCTAGACAATTCTTTGCTTCCAACTTTGTGGCAAGCGTTTGGGGAAGGCCCTTTCCTGTTTCATCATGGCAATGCCCCCGTGCACAAAGCGAGGTCCATACAGAAATGGTTTGTTGAGATCGGTGTGGAAGAACTTGACTGGCCTGCACAGAGCCTTGACTTCAACCCCATTGAACACCTTTGGGATGCATTGGAATGCCGACTGCGAGCCAGGCCTAATCGCCCAACATCAGTGCCCGACCTCACTAATGCTCTTGTGGCTGAATGGAAGCATCTAGTGGAAAGCCTTCCCAGAAGAGTGGAGGCTGTTATAGCAGCGAAGGGGGGACTAATTCCATATTAATGCCCATGATTTTGGATTGAGATGTTTGACGAGCAGGTGTCCACACACATTTGGTATGCAGCCTGAATGTGTGTCTGGAAAAAATTGATATAGATAGAAATGGGCATTTTGGGCATTTTTAACACAGACTGGTATGACCATAATGCACTAACTACGTGTGTATGGATAAGACAGTGAGTGTTAAATAATGATGTGTGTATATGAGAGAGAGGTGGTGTGTGTGAGTTCAAGGAGAGAGAGAGTGTGTGTGTTGGAGTGAGATAGTGGAGTGGCGGTAGGGGTATGCTGTGTGCAGCCAGCCAGCCAGCCAGTCATGGGAGGGACAAGGGAGACTCGCGCTCCTGGAGCTGCTTACTGGCTGGAGTTAGAACAGGGGGAGGACTGTCTCAGCCCTGCCTGCTGCAGAGAGACAGAGAGAGACAGAAACCGAGTGAGAGAGGGAGGGAGGGAGGGAGAGAAAGAGACAGAAACCGAGAGAGAGACGGAGACCGAGTGAGAGAGAGACGGAGACCGAGTGAGAGAGAGACGGAGACCGAGTGAGAGAGAGACGGAGACCGAGTGAGAGAGAGACGGAGACCGAGTGAGAGAGAGACGGAGACCGAGTGAGTGAGAGAGAGACGGAGACCGAGTGAGAGAGAGACGGAGACCGAGTGAGAGAGAGACGGAGACCGCGTGAGAGAGACGGAGACCGCGTGAGAGAGACGGAGACCGCGTGAGAGAGACGGAGACCGCGTGAGAGAGACGGAGACCGCGTGAGAGAGACGGAGACCGCGTGAGAGAGACGGAGACCGCGTGAGAGAGACGGAGACCGCGTGAGAGAGACGGAGACCGCGTGAGAGGGACGGAGACCGCGTGAGAGGGACGGAGACCGCGTGAGAGGGACGGAGACCGCGTGATAGGGACGGAGACCGAGAGATAGGGACGGCGAGAGAGAGAGAGGGACGGCGAGAGAGAGAGAGGGACGGCGAGAGAGAGAGAGGGACGGCGAGAGAGAGAGAGACAGAGACCGAGAGACGGAGACCGCGTGAGAGACCGACGGAGACCGCGTGAGAGACCGACGGAGACCACGTGAGAGACCGACGGAGACCACGTGAGAGACCGACTGAGACCACGTGAGAGACCGACTGAGACCACGTGAGAGACAGACAGAGACCGAGAGACAGAACGCAAGAGAGAGAGAGAGAGAGAGACAGAGCGCGTGAGAAAAAGACAGAGCGCGAGAGAGAGAGACAGAGCGCACGAGAGAGAGACAGAGCGAAAGAAACAAGGCTGAATCAACTCCACAGAAGAGAGAGAGAGAGACTGGGTTTCTGCATCGGTATGCCTGCTCCTGCTCTCTCATTTCCACTCCATACGCCGCTGCTGCCTCTGAGGAGAACTGGACTCTGTTTGAAATGCCAATCACCTGCTTGAGGCTACTCCTTCATCTGCAATCATTTACATTTAACATTTATACTCTCTGTTCCCAGAGTGAGAGAGACCGAGTGAGAAGAGTGGATGAGAATTTCCTTGCTTTTCTCCTTTCTGCTGAAGTTCCTGTGAAGATTAGCAGAGTGGGTGGTTTCGACTCTTTGACGCTATCCGTCTGATCTGTCCGTGTTTGGAGGAAAAGACTGAAGGAGAGGACACAACAGTCTCTTGAAACATCGGACTCTATATCACCTGAGATATTGGGGAACTTGTGCCTGCATTTGAATGAAACAAACAGGTATTATAATTTAGTAAGCCGAGATGATGAAACTTGTTTGACCGTTCTGATAGCAACAGGCACAGCGCTGGGTCTTTTCAGAGGAGAGAACAAGGGGTAGGATGAGAGCCTGCCAGAGTATTTGTCCTCTATCTGTGTTCTTCTTTGTGTGTGACTCCTCTGTGTCTGTGCAGTGAGGGGTGCCCTGGGGGACACCCTAGTCCCTGATCGTGGGTGAGGGCCTCACATTGCTGCTGACATGGCAGAGGGTACACAGCTCCTCTCTTTGGGGCACCAGCCTGGTCTGCTACTGAGCTAGGACTTGGACCAGCCATTGACCATCCCCAGCCAAGTTCCAGTCCTCTGTCTCTGGATCTGGTTTCAGACCAGGGGCTTTCAGAAGGCTCCCTGGCTGCAAGATGATGAACTCTTCCTTGGACCTGCCGGACCTTGAGCTCCTGAACCAGAGCAGCCCTCCGTTCTGCCTCCTAGACATGGGCTACTCCCAGATCTTCAACACCTGTCTTTTAGAGGTGGCCATCATCTTGCTCCTCACCGTTCTCATCATCTCTGGCAACCTGGTGGTGATCTTTGTCTTCCACTGTGCTCCACTGCTCCACCACCACACCACCAGCGCCTTCATCCAGACCATGGCCTACGCAGACTTGTTAGTCGGGGTCAGCTGCCTCATCCCCTCCCTGTCCCTCCTGCACCACCTGAAAGGCCTGGACGAAGAGCTCACCTGTAAGGTGTTTGGTTACATGGTTTCTGTGTTGAAGAGCGTTTCGATGGCGTCACTGGCGTGCGTTAGCGTGGACCGCTACATGGCAATAACACGGCCGCTGTCGTACCCGACACTGGTGACACCGTGCCGGATCCGCGTGTGCATCCTCCTCATCTGGCTCTACTCCGCCCTCGTCTTCCTGCCCTCCTTCTTCGGCTGGGGGAAGCCTGGCTACCACGGCGACGTGGTGAAGTGGTGTGCTGTGGAGTGGGGGACAAAGCCGCTCTTCACGTGGTTCATCGTGGCGCTGCTCTACGTGCCGGCCGCCATGACGGTCTGCTTCACCTACGCCAACATCTTCCGTATCTGCCGGCAGCACACGAGGGAGATCAGCGAGCGCCGCGCCCGCTTCGGACCACAGGAGGGCTCTCTGGGACAGGACGGCCAGCCGCAGCATGCGCCGGCGTGCACGGACAAACGCTACGCCATGGTGCTGTTTCGCATCACCAGCGTCTTCTACCTCCTCTGGCTTCCCTACATCCTGTACTTCTTGCTGGAGAGCGCTGGAATCTACCGTCACCCCGCCGCCTCGTTCCTCACCACCTGGCTGGCTATCAGCAACAGCTTCTGTAACTGTCTGATCTATAGTCTAACCAACAGCGCCTTCCGGAAAGGTTTAAAACGTCTCTGTTCGTTCTGCGTGCAGAGGGTGGACAGTAAGAATCCTTTTGGCCCTGGGCCGGGGCACGGACAGGGGCCGGTCTGCACACGCTCCACATGCCATGTGTAGGACTTTATAGAGACCCGTGTGGCGGGCGAGTCAGAGTGGTGTGTTGCTAAAGCACTAAGCGTGTCCCATGTTGATGCTGAGCTAAAGGGAACAGGCTTCACAGGGAGTTGTGTTGCTATGGTTGTTTCCAGACAGTTGGAGGTTTGTTGGATGGTTGCGTTCCTGGCCACAGCTGACTCTGACAGGATTGCCTCCAGGGCCTGAGAGCTTTGAGCCCCGCATGGAAAGTATAGCCTATCCTCAGCCATGAGAGAGGTAGAACAGGGAGGGGGAGTGAGAGTCAGAATAGGGACGTGGAATTACAGTACCCTAACCTTTGACTCCAGTTACGTATGACAGAGCTATGGCTACGTTGTTTCAGCGTTTGGCCGTGGATGGAGTGTCAGTTGATTGAACACCTCCCTTCTGACAGTACTTGCCAAAAACACATGTTCTTATGGAAAAAAATATGTTCAAGACTCTGTGTATCTTCCTAGCAGTTTGTGAAACAATGTGTATTTGTGCCATGACTACAGTGTATTAAATGCAACAAAGTACTCACATAGTTTAAAAAACTGCAAAACACTTTAAAACTGCTTTCTTATGCTGAGCTGAGGGGAGCTGCCAATAACAACTTCTTTAAATGTTTTCCCTTGTGGTTTTTATTAAAACAAGGAAACAAAATATTTACAATATTGTGTGCTGAAGGGTGCAGCAAGCTCAGACTCTGAAGAGAAGCAAGTACTCCATCATTTATTTATATCTGGGTTGTTCTGAGGCAGAGGTACGGGCAGAGAAAGAGAGAACCACTTTGTTTAGAGGTTCAAACACCAGGATTAGTTTACTACTGAGGGATCAGAGTAATCATTGACTGGATGACTTTTGTTTCAACAAGCTTCCTTATCATCAGAGCCTGTCTGACTCTGTAACCAAACTACATTACAGACAGTACGTTCCAGTTCACTTATGAGGAGAATTTATCTCTGATATTATATGCTTGTTTCTGTGCATCTACGTCTCTGCAACGCTCTCGCTGCCCTGGAAAATAGACTCGAAGCCTAAAACGACGCTGCTTCAAGCGAGCCTCGCTTCACAGACGTGCTGCTTTTGCATGCTGTATAGCATGTCTCATAGATAATCGTGAGTTGTTAAACTGCGGCTCGCGTTACGGAGACGTTATGGTGACGTGACGGCGTTGGTATAGTTTGGCCATGGGTTAATGAAAGTGAATGTTGATGGTGAATGTTTAGAAAGCTGTGAGCTGTTGTTAGCTGAGGAACATCTGCCTCTGGCCAATCGTAAAGGTCTTGTCTGTCTATCGACCACCCTCCACCTTTTGGGTATGTCCCAATTGGCACCCTATTCACTATATAGTGCACTACTTTTGACCAGAGCCAATAGGGCTCTGGTCAAAAGTAGTGTACTATATAGGGAATAGGGTGCCATTTGAGATGCAGACTGTAACGCAATAACTTGTAGGGCTGCATTACTATACAGTACAATGAAACAGATAGAAATGAAGATCTCAGTGTTCAACTGTTTTTGGTCGAATGTTACTAGATATTTATTAGACTTTTCACAGGCTTTGGCTTCTTGACACTTTTCTCTCTCTGCTTATGGTAGCCTATTCCTCCATTTGGGAGCAAATATACAATATAATTAGTAGCTTTAATTTCTTAGTTGACAAAAGTTGAGTAGTTATTCGATTTGGTATATTTGAAGAAGGACGAGATAGAATGAGAGATGTAGAGAAAAATAAAGTGTAATTTAGGGTGATTAACTTTTTTTGATGGAAGTTTTCATGTTAGGAATTTTGCGGTGATGACGGTATGGACAGACATTGAGTTGGACTAGTGTATTGTTATGCTGCCTCTACAATTAATCCAGTGCTGTTCATCTGGACATAGGCTAAGGGTCCAAGGTTACATTTCAAATTTGTACATAGTCTTATGCATGTTTTGCCTACTGTATTTATTTGATTAGGTGATTTGAATAAGAAAGCTGACAATTCAAACTATTGTCAAACTATTGTCTAAAGTACAAATGCTTTTGGAGACTGTCTTCACGCGGTCAAAGGGCACAGTGCAATACGGTCATTGTTCCTCCATTTTGTCAGTTTTATTGAAGACCGACAAAACACATAGGCCTATATCACACAGACAGATTTATTGTGGATGTATTATTATTTTTTTTTTTACATTTTACCACTGTTTATTGAAACAATAAATGTAAATTTGTTTCTGTCTATTGACCATGTGATGTTCTTGGACTGTTAGTGATATTCTGGTAATAATAGGGTTTCTGCCAGAGTCGTCACACATAGTTCACCGTTTTATTGCGTTCACATGACTCTCCCTGACTCTTCTGCCCTTTGGGGATGGATGTGTGTGTGTGGGGGTGGGGGTGGGTGTTTTGTATGCCAGTGTGTTTGATGTGCAAAGGTATAGGTTTCTTATAGATGTGTTGGGTCTCTTTTGGTGTGTTGGACACTGACAGGCAGCTCAATTCTCTAAAATAATATAGTTGTTCATGGAAGTATGCCAAATATTGATTGGGTTTCCTACTACTGTACTTTCAAACTGGCTCTTATTTTTTCAAATACTGACCACTTAGTATTCAGATGAGGTGGATTTCTACTTCTTAAACAATTCCTTAAGTTTTTATACCGTTTTCCATGCTTTCAGCTTCATGGATGTACTGATATTATTGTGTATTTAAAAGAAAATTCAGGTGTCCTTCTTTTGAGGCAGATATGAGTTCAACATTTGACAGTATCTCCATCCAGGTGTCAGTTAGTTGAACTCTATTCAATCCAGCAGTCAGTTGACGGTACTTTAGAAAGGGGCAAAACTGGGGGAAAGGTTTCTTGCTTTGCTAGTTGGCTGATGTACGTTTTCGGGAAATTTCAATGCCAAAACGCCACTGTACGTCCCTTTCTATTTCCTGTGGGAAAACATCAAAGGGATAGTGATCTCGGGGACCCAAACTCCCATGATGACCTGCTCTCTACAGTGACATATTAGGACGTTTTAAGACCTGATGTGATGCTGGGAACGTCCATGCCAAATCTGGGACATAGTGTTATGGCCCAAGCTTTACTAGAGGACTACACACACACAGGCACACACACACAGGGTGCACGTATACACACTCACTCACTCACTCACTCACTCACTCACTCACTCACTCACTCACTCACTCACTCACTCACTCACTCACTCACTCACTCACTCACTCACTCTCTCACACACACACACTCACTCTCACACACTCACACACACACACAGGCACGCACACAGGGTGCACGTATACACACACACTCACTCTCACACACACTCACTCACACACACTGTTTTCCCTTCTCTTATCCAACATGTCCTTATTGAATTTTCTCATATGTATTTTCCTAATGCTCTAAATTGTCAGGGCAGGCTTTCTTAATGGCTAGCTCATGACCCAACTGTTTTAAGTGGCTCAGCTCTTTATCAGATTAAGAGGAGAATGGACACATTAACAAGAAGGCCTTTGCCTTGAAATGTCCCAAAACATGGTTGAAAATGTGACTTTTTTTATTTAATGTTTTTTTTTTTTTTTTTACACAAGGAACATTGGTTGAACACTATTCAATGTTTTGATCATTCATCACAAATGCTGGGTAAACTGAATCTTGTGGGACATTCAAATAATCATGTTCTACGTGTTATTTAAGGCAAGTTATCTAACTCATTACCTTGAGCCTTGTAATGATGTCATGTTGTCTGGAGATATTTATATTCTGGTGTATTATTCTGCATTGAGCAAATAAATGTGATCTTATCTAAATGTATCAAACTTCCTGCTTGTTATTTTTGCTTTGTGCTTTGAGAAAACGTGGACGTGTGTGATAAGGTGTGCGTGCTTGTGGGCTCACAGATGTTTGTACACTATATGGGCGTGTGTGTGTGTGTTAGAGTTACCACAAATACATACCCTGTACATGATGGACACTTGTATGTTATCAACTTGTTACCACAAATAGAATACCAGTGATCAACTTCAATCTTTAAGGTCCTGATATATTAATCAGGCAAAGTTCATCTAAAGAAGAGCTTCTTTCATACGTGGGTTATTCTTAGCTCCCTGCCTGGAGCCGATAGTCTGCTAGCCTGTTAGTTAGCCTGTTAGCTGGAGCCAGAGGAGCTAGCCGTGCTGTACAGAGGAAAGGAAGTGCCACACCCTATACACACAGACACCTCTGCCCAGCCGGGCTCTGTATTCAGGGCTGAGGGTGGCAGTCTGGGGGAGGGCAGGTTGCTCCCCCACACAGGGCCTGAGTAGGAGACGGAGGAGAGCCCTCTCTCTCTCTTCCACCCTTCCTCCCCCTCTTTCTCCCTCTCTCTCTCTCTCCCACCATACTTCCCAGAGTAGGGCTTTCATCGCCCCACTCCAGGTCTCATAATCAGCCCCAAGTAAGAAAAACAAAATGCCATTTCAGCCATTGTGTTGGGTCAGAATAAACCTGAGCTGTAAACAATGGAGGAACGGGTTACAGTGCTTCCTGCGGAAGTCTCACACACACACACACACACACACACACACTCTCTCTCTCTCTCTCTCTCTCTCTCTCTCTCTCTCCATCACTAACCACGAGCATCACCAAACACAGTGTGTTTTTCTCTCCCCACTCACGCAAAGGCTCTAGATGGACAGAGGCTAATTGGTGTTATGTCACTGGGCTTTTTAAAGTGTCTCAGGGCCCGAGATAACCCTCCCGAACGTAAACATGGATCCTTATCAGTGATGGAGACCAGTGGCTCACAGGCCTCAGTCCAGCGCTGCATCCCAAATGGCACCCTATATCCTTATATAGTGCACTACCTTTGACCCCCATAGGGCTCTGGTCAAACGTAGTGCCCTATATAGAGAATAGGGTGCCATTTGGGACACAACCAGTGATGTTAGCCACTCGCCACCCCCTACTACCTCTAGGGTGTGGTGCGATGGCTAGAAGGAGAGGAGAGGTCTGTGTGTGTGGAGTGTTAGACCCTGGCTCCGTTCACCGTTTAGTTATTTGTTTATTCTTCTTTTCTTCCGTCCATTCTTCTCCTGCTTGCTTTCTTTTGGTTTCAGTCTTCCTCTATGGAAGTAGGAACAGAAAGCTTGACGGAGATTAGGATGGAAGGAGAGAGGGAGTTGGTCGGTTGGGTCCAGTTGTTGCAATAAGGAGTTGGTGTTTGTAAACTGGGGATTGGTATAACCATACATGGGTCTAACTGACCTCATAATAAAGGTGCTGAGGAGTATCAAGGCATAGTTCACAAATTTTATGAGGGGGACATTTTTATTTATTTATCAGCACCCCTACTTCCCAGGGCTATGTCTGTGATGACTAGCTAGACCTGCAAAGCAAAAAAAGATGCCCTAAGAAATTGTCTCCTGATGTGATTTAAGAATTGACATGGACTCAGAACATCAAATTACATTGTTTCTCTATGAATAATTGTAATTCGAGAGTGAAAAAATAAAAATAAAAACAGGAAGAAAAATTATCAAGAAAACTGAATTTAGGAAAATACATCGTGCCTATTTGAAAGCAAAAAAAAACAGTAGCTCACAACATTTTTCATAATTTAAAAGTAGCTCTCATGCTAGAAAAGGTTGGAGACCCCTGGTGTGTAGCCTACCAAATGTCTTCTACCAATGCAATGCTTTAAATCCTTGAAGAGGAGTAAATGAGTGTGCACACTGCCACACGATAATTGAAAGTGGTCTGTTGGTGACCAGACATGGTGCTGGTAACTGCTACCTGGTACTGTAGCTAGTGCGGAATTGTTTCCTCTGTGCCATGCTGAGCCAGTTAGTCAGCCAGTGACTCTCACTGTAATTGTGTAAATGTATCTTAGGTTGTTATATTGGGGACTAGACTGTCAACCATACTGGTCCAGATATCTAATGCTGAATCGGCCCCCCCAGTCACTGGCTGACTGGCTCAGCTCAGTAACTGTGACTATGTGTGCATTATTTAGATGCTGTTCTGATCCAGATAAACAGAGCATCAAAAATGGAACCCGGGGTAATTAATCTTTGAAGAGGGCGCTGCAGAGTTGTGTGTGTCTGTGTGCGTGCATCCATGCGTGGCGTGTAGCCTTGGTCATACGTGTGTACTGTAATTACAGTAATTCCATTCTGTGTATTACCGTGTCAGAATAGGGATCCCGGGGAAACACGTCACTACCGCCAGGGTTCCACTCTGGCTGTCATAATAAGACAGGTGCCATCTGACTTGTACTACATGTGTTACTGTAAGGTGAGCACTATAACATGGAGAGCGGCTGGTAACCAGAGCTGAACTGACAGGATGGGATCCATTCACACCCCTGTCTGTGTCATTTCATCATTAAAAAAAATAATAATTTTACATCATAGTATTTATACCAAACATACTTTCAATAAAGTTTTGTTATTTGCATTCACTTTTCCTCTGTAAATAGATATGTCCGGGAGCAACACTGTTCTAAAAGTTATTTAGCTCTTTGTGCCACTGTGGCATCCAAACCTGCCTGCACAAAAAACAATGCATTGTCCTCGAGACATCACGCTAGTCACTGGAGAGACCCCGAGAGACAGGCTGAGTGTGCCAGTTAATGGTACGGAATACATATTAGGTACTTTGTGATTCCTCCTCATGGTACCTCTTAACTGAACACAATAGGGGCGATGAAAAATCGAAAGCCATTCATTTTCAAATGGGGGGAAGCAAAGTGGGCTGGCGGACCATTGGGCGATGCGAGCATGGGCAATCAAATCTCACTATAGCTTCCAGCCTCTGCTGGATTGGCTATTGATACCTAGCATTACCTTTTATGCTTGCTAGCACCCACATGAGGGCAAAGCTAGCGTGGTTATCCACATTTTCTCTTATACTTAACATGAACTCAGACATCAACCTTAATCTAGGCAAGTCTCACCCTTCCTCCTCAACCCTCACCCCTCCCCTAGTCAAGTGTCAACCAGTGGCGTAGCGCAGTTTCGCCAGAAACCTTTGGTTGCCTCTGCCAGGAGGCTGAAACTTGGCTGCAAGTGAATCTTCCAGCAAGACAACCCCAAGCACACATCAAAATCCACAAAGAAATGGTTAATTAACCACACAATCAAGTCTCCAGACTTGAACCACATTGAAAACCTGTCGTTTGAATTGAAGAGGGCAGTCCATAAGCGCAGATGAAGGATATCAAGGATCTGGAAATATTCTGTATGGAGGAATGGTCTAAGATCCCTCCCAATGTGTTCTCCAGCCTCATAAAACATTTGAGAAAAAGGCTCAGCGTCGTTATCCTCGCAAGGGGAGGGTGCTGGAGTATTGAAGACAGGGGATCCAATCATTTTCACCCCTTTCTTTTTTCAGTACTTGTTAAACAAAATCTCTTTCTCTGAGCAATTGTACTAGAATAAAATATATATATATATTTTTTGCATACAATATAGGTCTGTATTTGTGTTATTTATTTTAGTATTTTTTTGCTCATCTTTATCAAGGGATCCAATGATTCTGGACCCCGCTGTGTTCTGGGGCCTTTCCTCTTCCCCCATCTCCCCTCCCATCCCCCCTCTCCTCTCCCAGAGAGACAGACTGAGAGGCTGCATTTACCATAGAACACTGTCCCCTAGTGGAGCCAGAGCAGAACGGTCTGTTGACTGGTCTGGTATTGTGATGTGGGGGATTTTGTACTGTTTGCTTCCTTACTCTTCCGCTGGTTTGATTCCTTAGGCGTTTACTCGACTTTATGTACAGTATCAGTGGTTCATTGGCGAAGTTCTAACTCCAGGGGAACAGCCAATCTAAATGTAACTACATGGACTTCACTGACCGTTTCCTTTTTCTCTTTTCTGACCCTCCCAGGAGTCTCCCCAGGACAGTGCCATCACCAGAGACATTAACAGGACTTTCCCAGCTCACGACTATTTCAAGGACACTGGAGGAGACGGCCAAGACTCACTCTACAAGATCTGCAAGGTGAGGAGAGGAGGGAGTAGTAGAAGAAGAAAGATGAATTATCCCCAAGGGGAAAATGGTCTTGCTTCAGAATCGTAAAAACATTGCATTACAACACATTACTAGGAGGGAAGGCCCCACAACCGCTCAAAGATTGGTTTGAATAAGAAGCGAAGAAATACAAAAACTGGAGCCAAGAAATCTGTAGCTAACGCAATGCTTGGCTGAGCAGTAAGCGCTCCACCATCGAGACTGTATTATTATTGACAGAAAAGTTTTTGGTTCAGATACTAATATCACAGTCAGGTAATAATAAAGAAAAACATTAACCCCAGATGCTTCTCAATAATTCAACAGCTTTCTGTGTGTGTGTCTGCTCTCCCTGTATGTTTGATCCTTATAAGTTGAATGCACCAATTTGTAAGTCGCTCTGGATAAGACGTAAATGTAAATATCCATTGTGCTGCTGTGTTTCAGCATTGACTCTTTCAGCCAGGGATTACAGACTAGCTCAGAATGCTACAGCTCAGACCTCCCTCTCTATCTCCATTTACAGTTCAGGGAGTTTATTATGTCATTCATTACGACCAATGGTCATTTTCACTTTGTGTAAAGGAGAGTTGTAGTGGATCCAATGGCCCAGTGGGTTTGATTGTGGGTTTGATTTCTGCAAGGGTGACTTTCTTAATGTGTCACTGTCAATGTTGACAGTTCTGTAAGACGTGTACTTTACAATAGCACTAACAGCTCGTCTCCAGTCCTGTCTCTAACGTTGAGAGTCTGTTCCTCTCTCCTCCCCAGGCCTACTCAGTGTATGATGAGGAGATTGGCTACTGCCAGGGACAGTCTTTCCTGGCTGCTGTGCTGCTGCTGCACGTGAGTTACACATGACAACAGCAGAGCTGGGATCTGATGTAGACATGCTCTCTCTCTCTCTCTCTCTCTCTCTCTCTCTCTCTCTCTCTCCTCTCTCTCTCTCTCTCTCTCTCTCTCTCTCTCTCTCTCTCTCTCTCTCTCTCTCTCTCTCTGTCCCTGCGTGTGTGCGTGTGTCTCTCTCTCTCGCTCTCTCCCTCTCCTTCCCTCTCTCCTCACGGGCTCAGGTCTGTGATGGAGTGCTCTAGGCTGGAGGAGGTTCATGGCAGATGTCTCCTTCCCTCCCTCTCAGCCATCACAGTGCCAGAGCTCTCTCCTCTCTCTGAAGGAAACACTGACACCTAGTGAATAGACAGTGAACTATTCTGTTATTATTTCAGAGATACACTAACTTTCAGGCTTAGTACCGAGATGGCCTATGGTGAACAGTCAGATATCAAGAGAAGACAATGACTCTCCTTTTCAATCTAATTGAAAGGTTTTTGAAAGATGAAATCAGATCTGATGCATCGTTTTAGTACTGTTCCAATTAGATAGATGTGTAGGACAATAAACATTGATGCAGATATGTCCCAGCCCAGTGGGTGCTTGTGATTGCTGATGTACCTACTGTATGTATTCTCTCTCTGTACCCCTGTCTAGATGCCTGAGGAGCAGGCCTTTAGTGTCCTGGTCAAGATCATGTTTGACTATGGACTCAGGGAGCTCTTCAAGCAGAACTTTGAGGATTTACACTGCAAGTTCTTCCAGCTGGAGCGACTCATGCAGGTGAGAGGACGTGTGTGCGTGTGGGTCCCGTGTGGCTCAGTTGGTAGAGCATGGCGCTTGCAACGCCAGGGTTGTGGGTTTGATTCCCACAGGGGACCAGTACTGGAAAAAGTACAAAAATGTATCCACCCACTACTGAAAGTCGCTCTGGATAAGAGCGTCTGCTAAATGAATAAAATGTCAATGTAAATGTAAAAATGAGTGTGTGTGCCTGTGTGTGTTACTTTGTGTGTTTCTCTACCTACTGTTACTGTAGTCATTGTTCTCCTGTCTCTTTCTCTCTCTCTGTGTATCCGGAGTACACTTCTGCTGTTGATGATTACTGTAGTGTAACGGTTTCTTTCTTTCTCTTTCTGTGTCTCTAATAGGAGTACATCCCAGACTTGTATAACCACTTCCTGAACGTGGGTCTGGAGGCTCATATGTACGCCTCTCAGTGGTTCCTCACGCTCTTCACTGCCAAGTTCCCCCTCTACATGGTGTTCCACATCATAGACCTGCTTCTCTGTGAGGTAGCTATCTATCCCCCCCTAGCCCCATACCCTCATCCTTCTCCCTAACCCTCTCCCTAACCCTCACCTCTCTCCCTAACCTTCGCCTATTTCCCTAACCCTCTCCCTAACCCTCGCCCCAATGTCACCCCTCTCCCTAAACCCTCTTCCAAACCCTCACCCCTAATCCTCACCTCTCTCCATAACCCTCACCCCTCTCCCTTCTCATAACCCTCTCCCTAACCCCTCCCCATAACCCTCACCTCTCTCCCTAACCCTCACCTCTCTCCTTAACCCTCACCCCTCTTCCTAACCCTCACCCCTCTCCCTAACCCTCAACCCTCCTCCTAACCCTCACCCCTCTCCCTTCTCCTAACCCTCTCCCTAACCCCTCTCCATAACCCTCACTTCTCTCCCTAACCCCCCTCTCCCTAACCCTCACCTCTCCCCCAACCTCACCCCCTCCCCTAACCCCACCTCCCCCAACCCGCACCACCCCCCAACCCCCCTCCCTAACCCCACCTCTCTCCCTAACCACCTCGCCTATTCCCTAACCCCCCAACCCCGGCCCCCTGTCCCCACCCCTCTCCTAACCCTCTTCCAACCCCACCCCTAACCTCCCCTCCCAAACCCTAACCCCCTCCCTTCTCATAACCCTCCCAAACCCCGTCCCATTGCCAAACCCCCCCACCCGCCCAACCCCCCCCCAACCCTCCCTCCCCTACCCAACCCCACCCTCCAACCCTCACCCCTCTCCCAACCCCACCCCCGCCAACCCCACCCCTCCCCCCTAACCCCCCCTAACCCCCTCCAACCCTCACCATTCTCGCCAACACCCCTCCCTAACCCTAACCCCACCCTCTCCCATATCCTCACCCCCTCTCTACCCCCCCCGCCCAACCCCAACCCCTCCCCACCCCTACCCCTCCCAACCCTCCCACCCCCTCCCTAAACCTCCCACCTAGCCCCTAACCCTCTCGCCAACCCTCCCCAACCCAACCCCCTCCCCAAACCCCAAACCCTCCCAACCCTCACCCCCCTAACCCACCAAAACCCCACCCGCAACCCGCACCCCTCTCCCTTCCAACCCCTCCCAACCCCCCCATAACCCTCCTCCCCCTCCCTAACCCTCCCACCCTCTCTCCTTAACCCTCCCACCCCTCTTCCCAACCCCCCTCCCTCTCCTCACCCTCCCCTCCTCCCAACTCCTCACCCCTCTCCCTTCTCCTAACCTCCTCTCCCTAACCCTCTCCTCCCAATCCCTCCCATCCCTCTCCCCCCCCCCTACACCCCCTCCTCCTAACCCTACCCTCACCTCTCTCCCTAATCCTCACCCCCCTCCCCTAACCCCCTCCACCACCCCTCCCAACCCTCACCCCCCCCCCCCACCCCTCCCTAACCCTCACCCTCCTCACCCTCTCCCTAAACCTTCGCCTATTTCCCTAACCCTCTCCCTAACCCTCGCCCCAATGTCACCCCTCTCCCTAAACCCTCTTCCAAACCCTCACCCCTAATCCTCACCTCTCTCCATAACCCTCACCCCTCTCCCTTCTCATAACCCTCTCCATAACCCTCCCCATAACCCTCACCTCTCTCCCTAACCCTCACCTCTCTCCTTAACCCTCACCCCTCTCCCTAACCCTCAACCCTCCTCCTAACCCTCACCCCTCTCCCTTCTCCTAACCCTCTCCCTAACCCCTCTCCATAACCCTCACTTCTCTCCCTAACCCCTCTCCCTAACCCTAACCCTCACCTCTCTCCCTAATCCTCACCCCTCTTCCTAACCCTCACCCTCACCCCTAACCCTCACCACCCTCCCTAACCCTCACCCTTAACCCTCACCTCTCTCCCTAACTTTCGCCTCTTTCCCTAACCCTCAGCCCCTCCCCTCCCTCACCTCTCCCTAACCCTCACCCCTCTCCCTAACCCTCACCCCTCTCCCTAACACTCTACCCTTTCCATACTCTCACCCCTTTCCATACCCCTAACCCGGCTCCATACCCCTAAACCTCCCCCCTCCCCCTAACCCTCATCTCTCCTTAACCCTCACCTCTCTCCCTAACCCTCACCTCTCTTCCTAACCCTAACCCTTTTCCTTACCCCTCTTCCTAACTAACACTCACCCATCTTCCTAACCCTCACCCCTATTTCTAACCATCACCTCTCGCCCTAACCTCACCTCTCTCCCTAACCCTCATCCCTCTTCCTAACCCTAACCCCTCCCTAACCCCTCTCCCTAACCCTCACCCCTCCCTAACCCTTCTCCCTAACCCTCACCCCTCCCTAACCCTTCTCCCTAACCCTCTACCCTTTCAATACCCCTCACCCCTTTCCATACCCCTAACCCTGCTCCATACCCCTAAACCTCACCCCTCCCCCTAACCCTCATCTCTCCTTAACCCTCTCCCTTCTCCTAACCCCCACCCCTAACTCTCACTCCTCTCCATAACCCTCACCCTAACCCTCCACTCTCTCCCTAACCCTCACCTCTCTCCCTAAACCCTGCACCCCTAACCCTCCACCATCTCTCCCTTAACCCTCACCCCTCTTCCTACCCTCAACCCCTCTCCCTAACCCTCAACCCTCCTCCTAACCCTCACCCCCTCTCCTTCTCCTAACCCTCGTCCCTAACCCCTCTCCATAACCCTCACTTCTCTCCCTAAACTAACCCCTCTCCCTAAACCCTAACCCTCAACCTCTCTCCCTAATCCTCACCCCCTCTTCCTAACCCTCACCCCTCACCCCTAACCCCACCACCCCCTCCCCTAACCCTCACCCTTAAACCCTCACCTCTCTCCCTAACTTTCTCCTCTTTCCCTAACCCTCAGCCCCTCCCCTCCCTCACCCCTCCCTAACCCCTCTCCTAACCCTCACCCCTCTCCCTAACACTCTACCCGTTCCATATACCTCACCACCCCTTTCCATACCCCTACCCAACCCGGCTCCATACCCCTAAACCTCCCCCCTCTCCCCCTAACCCTCATCTCTCCTTAACCCTCACCTCTCTCCCTAACCCTCACCCTCTCTTCCTAACCCTAACCCTTTTCCTTACCCCCCTCTTCCTAACTAACACTCACCCATCTTCCTAACCCTCACCCCTATTTCCTAACCATCACCTCTCCGCCCTAAACCTCACCTCTCTCCCTAACCCTCATTCCCTCTTCCTAACCCTAACCCCTCCCTAAACCCCTCTCCCTAACCCTCACCCCCTCCCTAAAAAAAACCCTTCTCCCTAACCCTCACCCCCTCCCTAACCCTTCTCCCTAACCCTCTACCCTTTCAATACCCCTCACCCCCTTTCCATACCCCTAACCCTGCTCCATACCCTAAACCGCACCACCTCCTCAACCCTCCCCCTAACCACTCATCTCTTAACCTAAGAACCCTCTCCCTTCTCCTAAACCCCCCCCCCTAACCTCTCATCTCCTCTCCAATAACCCTCCACCCTAAACCCTCCACTCCTCTCCCGGAAAACCCTCACACTCTCTCGCCCCTAAAACCCCTCCTCAACTTCTCTCCCTAACCCCTCAACCCCTAAACCTGGGCCCCCCCCCCTCACCTCTCTCCCTAACCCTCACCTCTCTCCCCCCCTAAACCCCTCACCACCCCTCCTCCCTAAACCCCCACCCCCTCTCCCCTCCCTGACCCTCCCTCCCTAACCCCAACCCTCCACCCTCTCCTACCCCTCACCCAACTCCCAACCCTCACCCCTAACCCTACCCACTCTTCCTAACCCTCACCTCCTCCCCTAACACACCCACTCCCTCTCCTAACCCCACCTCTCCCAACCCCTACCCCAACCCCACCTCTCTCCCTAACCCTCCCCTTCCCTAACCCCACCCCCCTTACCTTAGCCTTCAACCCTTCCACCCAAGCGCCTACAGTTAACCTCAAAATTAAACCTCCCCCAAACTCCCCCCCCCACCCCCCCTACCCTCCCACCCCCCACCCCCCTCTCCCCCCCCTCACCCCAACCCCACCCCTCTTTTACTAACTCAACCTTCCCCAAACGCCTTATACTAATCTGCTAATACCTTACTCCCCCTCTCCACCTGCCTCCCTCTCCCTACCCCTTCCTCCTAACCCCACTCCCTAACCTCCCACCCTCAACCCTCCTTTCTCTCTTTCTGGACACCCTCATTTCTCTGTGTACCCCAAACCCTCTCCCACTGTCTTTCTACTCTCACCTCCCTCTCTCTGTATGGATATCCCCTCTACTTCCCTCTAGTTTCTGTCTCTCACCAACCCTCACCCCTCTCCCTAACACTCACCCCTCTCCCTAACCCCCGCCCCTCTCCTAACCCTCACCCCTCTCCCTTCTCCTAAACCTCACCCCAAATCCTGCTCAGCACCCCATCCCTAACCCTCACCCCTCTCCCTAACCCTCACCCCTCTTCCTAACCATCACCCTCCTCCTAACCCTCACTCCGAACCCTTCTCTGAACCCTCACCCCTCTCGCTAACCCTACCCCCTCGCCCCCCCCTCCCTAACCCCTCTTTCTAACCCTCAGCCGTCTTCCTAACCCTCTCCCTGACCCTCACCCCAACCCTCACCTCTCTCCTTAACCCATCCCCTCTCCTAACCCTCACCCCTCTCCCTTCTCTTAACCCTCACCCCAACGTCACCCCTCTCCCTAACCCCTCTTCCAAACCCTCACCCCTAATCCTCACCTCTCCATAACCCTCGCCCCTCTCCCTTCTCCTAACCCTCTCCCTAACCCCTCTCCCTAACCCTCACCTCTCTCCCTAACCCCTCTCCCTAACCCTCACCTCTCTCTCTAACCTAACCCTCACCTCTCTCCCTAACCCTCACCTCTCTACCTAACCCACACTCCTCTCCCTTCTCCTAACCCTCACACCTCTCCCTAACCCTCACCCTCCCCCTAACCCTCACTCCTCTCCCTTCTCCTAACCCTCACACCTCTCCCTAACCCACACCCTCACCCCCTCCCTCTCCCTAACCCATCTCCATAACCCTCACCTCTCTCCCTAAACCCTCTCCCTAACCCTAACCCACACCTCTCTCCCTAATCCTCACCCCTCTTCCTAACCCTCACCCCTCTCCCTAACCCTCACCACCCTCCCTAACCTCTCCCTAACCTTCACCTCTTTCCCTAACTCTCACCCCCTCCCTAACCCCTAACCCTCACCCTCCTCCCTAACCCTCACCTCTCTCCCTAACCCTCGTCCCCCTCCCTAACCCTCGCACTCTTCCTAACCTCACCCCTCTTCCTAACCCTCAGCCGTCTTCCTAACCCTCTCCCTGACCCTCACCCCAACCCTCACCTCTCTCCCTAACCCTCACCCCTCTCCCTTCTCTTAACGCTCACCCCAACGTCACCCCTCTCCCTAACCCCTCTCCATAACCCTCACCTCTCTCCCTAAACCTTCTCCCTAACCCTTACCCTCACCTCTCTCCCTAATCCTCACCCCTCTTCCTAACCCTCACCCCCTCCCTAACCCTTGCCCTCTCCTTAACCCTCACCACCCTCCCTAACCCTCACACCTCTCCCTAACCCTCACCACCCCTCCCTAACCCTCACACCTCTCCCTAACCTTCACCCTCACCCCCTCCCTCTCCCTAACCCCTCTCCATAACCCTCACCTCTCTCCCTAAACCCTTTCCCTAACCCTAACCCTCACCTCTCTCCATAATCCTCACCCCTCTTCCTAACCCTCACTCCTCTCCCTAACCCTTGCCCTCTCCTTAACCCTCACCACCCTCCCTAACCCTCACCCCTAACCCTCACCTCTCTCCCTAACCTTCACCTATTTCCCTAACCCTCACCCCCCTCCCTAACCTCACCCCCCTCCCTAACCTTCACCCCTCCCTAACCCCTCTCCCTAACCTTCACCCCTCCCTAACCCCTCTCCCTAACCCTCACCCCTCTCCCTAACCCTCACCAACCTCCCTAAACCTCACCCCTAACCCTCACCTCTCTCCCTAACCTTCACCTCTTTCCCTAACCCTAACCCTCACCCCCCCTCCCTAACCCTAACCCCTCCCTAACCCCTCTCCCTAACCCTCTTCCCTCTCCCTAACACTCACCCCTCCCTAACCCCTCTCCCCTCTCCCTAACACTCTCCCCTTTCCATACCCTTAACCCTATTCCTTACCCCTCTTCCTAACTCTAACCCTCACCTCTCTCCCTAACCTCGCCTCTCTCCCTAACCCTCATCCCTCTTCCTAACCCCCACCCCTTTCCCTAACCCTCACCGCTAACCCTCACCTCTAACTCTCTCCCTAACCCTCGCCCCCCCTCCCTAACCCTCGCCCCCCCTCCCTAACCCTCAACCTCCCTCCCTAACCCTCAACCTCCTCCCTAACCCTCACCCCTCTCCCTAACCCTCACCCCAACCCTCGCCCCTCTCCCTTCTCCTCACCCCAACCCTCGCCCCTCTCCCTTCTCCTAACCCTCACCCCTAACTCTCACTCCTCTCCATAATCCTCAACCCTCTCCCTAACCCTGACCTCTCTCCCTAACCACTCTTCCTAACCCTCACCCCTCTTCCTAACCCTCACCCCTCTCCCTAACCCTCACCTCTCTCCCTAACCCTCACCCCTAACCATCACCCCTTTCCCTAACCCTCACCCCTCACCTCTCTCCCTAACCCTCACCCCTCACCTCTCTCCCTAACCCTCACCCCTCTCCCTAACCCTCACCCCTCTTTCTAACTCTACATGTTCCACATCATGGACCTGATACTCTGTGAGTTACTGTACTCGCCCCATCTGGCCCTCTCCCTCCCTGTCTCCTTTTACCCTTATTCTGGCGTTCTACCCTCACTTCCTTTCTCTCTTTCTGGACAACCCTCCTTTCTCTGTGTACCCCAAACCCTCTCCCACTGTCTTTCTACTCTCACCTCCCTCTCTCTGTATGGTAATCCCAACCCTCTCCCTATTTTTCTTTCTAGTCTCCCACTTGCCCTTCCTCTCCCCTCTTACCTCTACTCTGTTCAGTAACTCAGTCTCTATTTTCTCTTCTCTCTCGCTCAGGGCATCAGTGTGATCTTCAACGTGGCTCTGGCTCTCCTGAAGGTGAGTTGCTGCCTCTGTGGAAACATATACACACACACACGCACACGCACACACCGCTAGTCACAAGGCTGCGTTACCACAGCGACGCACTGCAAGCTTAGACATGGAGCCAAGGCTTCGATTTCATTCTCATCCCACACACACACACAGCGTTCCTCCCACACCGTTCCTACTGTGCTCTTGGCAGCAGTAACGTTATAGAGGGTTTTCCTGTGAGGGGGGTCTTGGCTGGGCCCAAAGCTGGAAAAGCTGGGACACGTCTCTCTCTGTCTCACACTGTTCCTCACCATGTCCCTCTTCTCCTCTTCCAGACCTCGAGGGAAGACCTGCTGGCGACGGACTTTGAGGGGGCGCTCAAGTTCTTCCGAGTCCCGGTTCCCAAACGCTACCGCTCAGAGGAGAACGCTAAGAAACTTATGGAACTGGCCTGCAGCATTAAGGTAATACATTATTCACTGCCTAAAATCCTGCGTATCCAAACTAACTGACCGTGGACCCTACTGCCGTCGTGTTGAATCTACCCTTGCTAACTCTACCATGTTGTTTTCTCCTGAATTTACTCTAGTTAATTCAGTCACTTAATTGTCCCCCATGATGAAATCGGGGAGAGGACTGTGGATAGGTCTCCGTCCGTCCCGTACGTTTGTCCGTACATTAGTCACACACGATATCTCAGACAGCACTTCCCCGATTTTGACGAAACTGTAGAATAATAGTGAAGACATCAAAACTATGAAATAACACATATGGAATCATGTAGTAACCAAAAGAGTGTTAAACAAATCAAAATATATTTTATATTTATATTCTTCAAATAGCCACCCTTTGCCTTGATGACAGCTTTGCACACTCTTGGCATTCTCTCAACCAGCTTCACCTGGAATGCTTTTCCAACAGTCTTGAAGGAGTTACCACATATGCTGAGCACTTGTTGGCTGCTTTTCCTTCACTCTGTGGTCCGACTCATCCCAAACCATCTCAATTTGGTTGAGGTCGGGGGATTGTGGAGGCCAGGTCATCTGATGCAGCACTCCATCACTCTCCTTCTTGGTAGAATAGCCCTTACACAGCCTGGAGGTGTGTTGAGTCATTGTCCTGTTGAAAAACAAATGATAGTCCCACTAAGCCCAAACCAGATGGGATGCCGTAGCCATGCTGGTTAAGTGTGCCTTGAATTCTAAATAAATCACAGACAGTGTCACCAGCAAAGCACCCCCACACCATAACACATCCACGCTTTTCGGTGGGAAATACACATGCGGAGATCATCCGTTCACCCACACCACGTCTCTCAAAGACACAACGGTTTGAACCAAAAATCTCCAATTTGGACTCCAGACCAAAGGACACATTTCCACCGGTCTAATGTCCATTGCGTGTGTTTCTTGGCCCAAGCAAGTCTCTTCTTCTTATTGGTGTCCTTTAGTAGAGAATTCTTTGCAGCAATTCGACCATGAAGGCCTTATTCACACGGTCTCCTCTGAACAGTTGATGTTGAGATGTGTCTGTTACTTGAACTCTGTGAAGCATTTATTTGGGCTGCAATTGCTGAGGCTGGTAACTCTATTGAACTTATCCTCTGCAGCAGAGGTAAGTCTGGGTCTTCCATTCCTGTGGCAGTCCTCATGAGAGCCAGTTTCATCATAGCGCTTGATGGTTTTTGCTGCTGCACTTGAAGAAACGTTCAAAGTTCTTGAAATGTTCCGTATTGACTGACCTTCATGTCTTAAAATAATGATGGACTGTCGTTTCTCTTTGCTTTTTTGAGCTGTTCTTGCCATAATATCGACTTGGTCTTTTACCAAATAGGGCTATCTTCTGTATACCCCCCTACCTTGTCACAACACAACTGATTGGCTCAAATGCATTAAGAAGGAAAGAAATTCCACAAATTAACTTTTAAGAAGGCACACCTGTTAATTGAAATGCATTCCAGGTGACTATCTCATTAAGCTGGTTGAGAGAATCCCAAGAGTGTGCAAAGCTGTCATCAAGGCAAATGGTGGCTATTTGAAAAATCTCAAATATAAAATATATTTTGATTTGTTTAACACTATTTTGCAATCTATATGGGACGGCTGTCAATCCTTTGGTCCTTAAATGAAACTGGTATATTGTATAATTTATCACAATCTTCTTTAACCAATTATGGTCTTTAATGCAGGGGCGGCTTCCCCCTTCCACTTTCCTCTTCCATTTTTGCGGTAATGCTGCAATTATTTGGTTGTAATTTTGGGTAGAGCAGACATTTCCATATGTTTTTGTTAGCTGCATGTGCGACATAACTCCACCAGTCCTACCTATGATATAATTTACGAAGATTCTACCTTTTTTAAACATTCATTCAAAAAATATTTTTTAAATCAATTAGTATATTTGAGTTTAACCACAATATTTGTTGCATTATTTGTTCTGTCGTTTCTGGAGGATTAAATTGAAATTGCAACCAACTTTCTATGGCTTGTTTTAGAAATAGTGATATTTGGGAGATTATTTCCTTTTCAAACAACTGAAAGTGAGATGTTGTAATCTGAATAAAGGGGAAAATGCCGTTCTTGAACATTGGGTGAGACAATTTTACTAATTTGCTAGAGAACCAGTTCGGATTTAAGTATAACTTTTGTATGACTGAAGCTTTTAGTGATAGGTCTAATGCTTTCATATTTATTCATTTCTGTCCTCCGAATTCATATTCATTATATAAATAGGCCCATTTAATTTTGTCTGGCTTGCCGTTCCAAATAAAATGGAATATTTCTTTCTCATATAATTTAAAAAAACTGTCAAGACCATAAGCAAATAGGTAAACTGGGATAATACTAAAGAGTTAATCAGGGTGATTTTTCCACATATAGACAGGTATTTACCTTCCCATGGTAGCAAGATCTTATCTATTTATGCTAACTTTCTATTACAATTTATTGGAGTGAGATCATTTATTTATTTTGGGATATGTATACCGAGTATATCCACATATATCCACACCATCAGACCATTTTATTGGTAAACTACACGGTAATGTAAAAATTGTTTTTTTTTGTGATCCAATACGTAATATAGTACCTTTATCATAATTTGGTTGTAATCCAGAGAGGTTAGAAAATGTATCTAGATCCTCTATGAGGCTGTGGAGGGATTCAAGTTGTGGATTTAAAAGAAAACATGAATCATCAGCGTACAATGACACCTTTGTTTTTAAGCCCTGGATTTCTAATCCCTTGATATTATTGTTGGATCTGATTTTAATAGCTAACATTTTGATGGCCATAATAAATAGATATGCCGATAGTGGACAACCTTGTTTTACTCCTCTTGACAGTTTAAAACTCTCTGAGAAATAGCCATTATTTACTATTTTACACATAGGGTTACTATACATGATTTTAACTAATTTTATAAGAGATTCTCCAAAATGGAAATGCTCCAGGCATTTATAAAATCAGCAAAAAAAGAAACGTCCCTTTTTCAGGACCCTGTCTTTCAAACATAATTCGTTAAAATCCAAATAACTTCACAGATCTTCATTGTAAAGGGTTTAAACACTGTTTCCCATGCTTGTTCAATGAACCATGAACAATTAATGAACATGCACCTGTGGAACGGTCATTAAGACACTAACAGCTTACAGACGGTAGGCAATTAAGGTCACAGTTATGAAAACTTCGGACACTAAAGAGGCCTTTCTACTGACTCTGAAAAACACAAAAAGAAAGATGCCCAAGGTCCCTGCTCATCTGCGTGAACGTGCCTTGTGACTGCAGATGTGGCCAGGGCAATAAATTGCAATGTCCGTACTGTGAGACACCTAAGACAGCGCCACAGGGAGACAGGACAGACAGCTGATCATCCTCGCAGTGGCAGACCACGTGTAACAACACCTGCACAGGATCGGTACATCCGAACATCACACCTGCGGGACAGGTACTTGATGGCAACAACAACTGCCCGAGTTACACCAGGAACGCACAATCCCTCCATCAGTGCTCAGACTGTCCGCAATAGGCTGAGAGAGGCTGGACTGAGGGCTTGTAGGCCTGTTGTAAGGCAGGTCCTCACCAGACATCACCAGCAACAACGTTGCATATGGGCACAAACCCACCATCGCTGGACCAGACAGGACTGGCAAAAAGTGCTCTTCACTGACGAGTCGCGGTTTTGTCTCACCAGGGGTGATGGTCGGATTCTCGTTTATCGTCGAAGGAATGAACGTTACACCGAGGCCTGTACTCTGGAGCGGGATCGATTTGGTGGTGGAGGGTCCGTCATGGTCTGGGGCGGTGTGTCACAGCATCATCGGACTGAGCTTGTTGTCATTGCAGGCAATCTCAACGCTGTGTGTTACAGGGAAGACATCCTCCTCCCTCATGTGGTACCCTTCCTGCAGGCTCATCCTGACATGACCCTTCAGCATGACAATGCCACCAGCCATACTGCTCGTTCTGTGCGTGATTTCCTGCAAGACAGAAATGTCAGTGTTCTGCCATGGCCAGCGAAGAGCCCGGATCTCAATCCCATTGAGCACGTCTGGGACCTGTTGGATTGGAGGGTGAGGGCTAGGGCCATTCCCCCCAGAAATGCCTGGGTACTTGCAGGTGCCTTGGTGGAAGAGTGGGGTAACATCTCACAGCAAGAACTGGCAAATTTGGTGCAGTCCATGAGGAGGAGATGCCTTGCAGTATCTAATGGAGTTGGTGGCCACACCAGATACTGACTGTTACTTTTGATTTTGACCCCCCCCCCCCCCCTTTGTTCAGGGACATATTATTCAATTTCTGTTAGTCACATGTCTGTGGAACTTGTTCAGTTTATGTCTCAGTTGTTGAATCTTGTTATGTTCATACAAAATTTGACACATGTTAAGTTTGCTGAAAATAAACGCAGTTGACAGTGAGAGGACGTTATATAAACTCCAGTCGTACTTTATCAATATCCTTTTCAAAGTCAGCTACGAATAGCAGGCCTGGTTTCCCAGATTTTTCATAGTGTTCTATTGTTTCCCGTACTTGCCTTATATTATCTCCTATGTATCGTCCAAGTAAAAAACCTGTCTGATTAGAATGAAAAATGTCCGACAATACCTTTTTAATTCTATGCGCTATACATTTTGCTAGAATTTTTGCATCACAACACTAAAGTGTAAGGGGCCTCCAATTTTTGTAATGGACTGGATCTTTATATTTCCCACTTGTATCCTGTTTCAGTAATAATAAAATCAGACCTTCTTCTTGAGTGTCTGATAATCTACCATTTACATAGGAGTGGTTAAAACATGCTAATAACGGTCCTCTGAGTATATCAAAAAAGGTTTGGTATACCTCAACTGGTATGCCATCCAACCCTGGAGTTTTCCCAGACTTAAAGTCTTTAATTGCATCCAGAAGTTCCTCCTCTGTAATTTCGCCTTCACGTGAGTAATTTTACATTATCAATAGAAAAAAAT